ACAAAGCTAAAAACCGCCCAAAGAACCACCAGTATGGATCTACTGGTCCTTGCCAAGTGAGAGTCTGTTTCCACAGGTGTCTTGCCCCATGGGAAACTCATTGGACAGGCAGTCATATGCTGATCCGAGTCTCGGCTGCCTGGCTCCCCACAGTAATCAGAATGAAGCAGTGGGATGTAAAGCACAGAGGTTAGAAGCATTGAACTTGAACAGTGAACTCCAGAAATTACCACACCTAAACAACAGAGACTTAGACCACAAAAGTAAATAGGGCCTCAAGGGCATGTAGGGCTATAAACATGGCCACAATGCTTTTATTATTTAGAATATTAAATATTATATTTTAATACTGTCAGTGTTCAAAACCATCTCTGATTATCCAGTAATGTTTTGTTGCAGTTGATTTGTTGAATTCCAGACATAATTCAAGTCCACATATTGTACTGAGACGCTCTATTTCTCTAAGTGCTTTTTAAATGTCTGTACTGTCTCTTCCCAATACTGGTTTGTCCTGTAGAGTTCACAGTCTTCATTTTGCTGAGTGCACCCTCATGATGTTATTTAAACTTGTTCTACTTTCCTCTGTATTGCCTATAAATTGGTAGTTATCACCACAGATTTGGTAGATCTGCATTCACTTTTTAAAGCAGGTTCAGAGGTGGTTATATCATACCAGAAAGCATGTAATGTGTGGCTGTTAACCTTTTCTCTTATGTGGAGAGTCAAACCCCCAAGCTTTGTACATACTGGGCAAGTGCTATACCTCTGAGCTACATATCCAGCCCATGACTGTTGCTCTTTTTGTCATATTAAGGTTAATCCTATCTGGGCTTGGTAGTGTGTACCTGTAATCTCAGCATTGGGAGATGGAACTAGGACAATCATGGACTTAAATCTGATCTTGGCTACATAGTGAGTTCAAAGCCAGCCTGAGCTACATACACCATTTCAGAAAAATAATGGCTAGAGATGTTGCTCAGTGGTAAAGCACTTATATAAGGTGCAAAAACCCCTGGTTTCTATCACCAGCATACAGCAACAACTATGCTAGCTTTTCTTCTAATGATTTTAGGAGCTAACACTGGTCACTGCCCAGATCTATATAGAGAGAAAGGGTCAAATATTTTCCCCATTTCTAAATATCCAGCTTTTTACATGGGCAATGTTGTCTGTGCATTCTCCTAGGTACATTCTATTCATATAGATGTAAATATAGACATATATGTGGATATTTATAGCCCTGTGTACCCAGTGTTAGCATAGTAGATACATTGTTCTACACACTTTTTTCCATCAATACTGTATGTCTTAAAGATCACTACATATATATTCCAAGTACCTACTGCTTCATAAAAAAAAGACCTCAATACCCAGTGGCTTGAGCAGGAGCATAACATAACAAAAATGTGGAACTTTAAAGTATCTTTAATAGTTCTTGGATCGCCTGGTCTTGACTAGGCAGTTCTTGCTCAAGGTCTGTCATTCAGTTTTTGTCAGACATCGACCCATGGATGAAGTCAGCCAAGGTTTGCTCACTTATATACTCAGGAGTACTGGCTGTTGGCAACCAATTCAACCTCCTTACCTACAGCTCTAATACCTTCAAATGATGCCCCCGTGTGTCCTTTCCTCACAGCATGATGTGTCACAAGAGAAGACAGGGTGGAAACTGTATTTTCTTTTATGACCCAGCCTCCGAAATTATTCAGTCCCTCTTTTACCTTAGTCACAAGCATACCTGGTATCCTGTTGCTTTTGTTTGGTTTGGTTTTTGTGTGAACCTGACCCAGGCTAGAGTTACTGGGAAGAGGAACCTCAGTTGAGAAAATGCCTCCATCAGATTGCCTTTAGGCAAGTCTGTAGGGCATTTTATTGATTGATGATTTATGTGGAAGGGACCAGCTCACTGTGGACAGTGTCACCTCTGGGTAGTCCTCGGTTATTTAAGAAAGTAGCTGAGCAAGCCATGGAGAGCAGGCCAGTAAATGACATGCCTCCATGGTCTCGGGTTCCTGTCTTGATTTCCCTCAATGATGAATTATTACCTGAAAACCTAAAATGAAATAAAGCCTTTCCTCCCAAGCTGCTTTTGGTCATGGTCTTTATCACAGCAACAGAAGCCTTGGACAGCTGGATGTAAAGGGAGAGAGGAGAGAAGTGTAAGAATTACATTGTAAGAAGAGCATAGTGAATGGAAAGTTGTTACAGCCATTCTGGAAAATACAGTCTGATACTACATAAATCTACCTTACATTTCCCTTTTGGTCTTTACTTTTTATTAGTATACATTAGTTATTATACACAGCAGATTTCATTTGATGTCTTCATACATGTATATAATGTATTTCAATTACATGCAACCCAATGCCTGTTACCTTCCCTTTTCCCACTCCTGCTAATCCCATTCCTTTTCCCAGCTAGTCCCCCTTATTCTTCCATGTCTTTTTATTTTGAGACAGGGTCTCACTATCCAGTCCTGGCTGGTCTGGAACTTTCTGTGTAGACAAGACTGGTCTTGAACTTACAGCGATCTCCCTATCTCTGCTTCCCAAATGCTGGGATTAAAGGTGTGTGTACTACACCCAAATTTTCCATGTCTTTTTGTTGATGACTCAATAAATTACATTAGGGTTGTTTGCAGGAGCATTGGTACCTACCTTTTATTTTCTTAATAGATGTGTAAATTGTATTGTTTAAATATATTATAATCTATTTGATCACTTTCCTAATGATGGACTTTTGGGTATTTTCTTTTTTTATACTTTTTTTTTAGATTTATTTATTATGTATACAGTGTTCTGTCTTCAGGCCAGAAGAGGGCACCAGATCTCATTATAGATGGTTGTGTGTGGTTGCTGGGAATTGAACTCAGGACCTCAGGAAGAGCAGCCAGTGCTCTTAACCGCTGAGCCATCTCTCCAGCCTCTTGGGTATTTTCTAGTCACTCACTATAACAAGCAGTGCTTGTAGTAAATTTCTTAACTGAAATTGCTTCATATATATGGAAAGAATTTATTCTATAGTTAGATCACAAGCTTAACTGACCAAAATATGTAGGCATTTTAAGCTAGATTTAGTGGTGCATGTCTATAAAACTGGCACTTGGGAGGTGGAGGCAGGAGAATCAGGAGTTCAAAGTCATCCTTGGCTATGACGCTTGTCTGGGCTACTTGAAACTCTTATTTTGTCCTCTGCCCAATACATGTAGATACACATGTACATGCATACACACACACACACACACACACACACACACACACACACACACACACGTATTTAAGTGTTCAATTGTGCAATTCAGTAGCTTTTTGTTTTCTCAAAAGTATTGTGCATCTTTTTGTTGTTGTTGTTGTTGTTTTGTTTTTGTTTTTCAAGACAGGGTTTCTCTGTGTAGCTTTCCTGGAACTCACTCTGTAGACCAGGCTGGCCTTGAACTCACAGAGATCTGCCTGCCTCTGCCTCTGGAGAGCTGGAATTAAAGGCGTGTGCCACCACCGCCACCGCCACCGCCACCACCACCACCACCACCACCCTGCCCAGCACATTACATTTTTATTAACTCCAAAAGAAACTATACTATCCATCAACTTCCAATCCCTGTATCTACCCAGCCCTAGTCAGCTATGAGTCCACTTTCTGGTGTTTGAGACATTTCCTATAAATTGAATCATACACTTAGTGATCCTATGTGACAAGCATCTCTCATTTAGTGTAATATTTTCAAAGTTTGTCTTCCATGTTGTAGCATATATCAGTACATCATTTCATTACTGCCAAATACTGCCTGTATGGCTAGAGTACATTTTATTTATTCATCACTTGGTGGGCACTTGGGTCATTTTTACTTTTCAAGTTTTGTGAATAATGCTAGTGTAAATATCTGTATATAGGTTAATGCAGACATGTTTTCATTTCTCTTGGATGTATAACCAAGAGAGGAAATGCTAAGCCGCATGGTGACTCTGTTTTTACCCATTGTCAGAACTGCCAGGCTCTTTCCAATATTTGCAAATAGCTCTCCAGAGGCATTGTTCCAGTTTTTACTCCCACAAGGGACTGTTTAAATGATAAGTCACATTAATTTGGGGGCCTTTCACAGCTTGATATAATAAAATGTTAACTTGATATAATGTTTATTTTATTTTTTCTTGTTACATGTGAAGTTGACTGCCTTCTATATTTATGGGGTACCAATGTTTATTTTGCCCAATTTTCTGTTGTTGTTTTTACTTTATCCATTTGGAGTTCTTTATTTCTTTATCAGAATTGGCCTATGAATTACAAATATTTTCCCTACTTTGTAATTTGTCCTATACTTTGCATAGTGTCTTTTCAGTAAGAACTCTTGATTTTGATATGTGTGAACCGACTGAACTCCACTTTCGTGGCTTCAGGTGATGTTGCGTAGTTAGGCAATCTTCTTCTGTCTGACAGTATGAGCTAATTTCCCACATGTATTTTAGCACTTTAATATTTGTGTCTTCACACATTCAGAATTGTAAGATACAGACTTTCAGGCACTGGTCCAACTTTTTCCAGATAGCTACTTGATACTTTTAACATCATTTAATAACTAATCTACATTCATCATATAGTGAATTCCCAATTCCAGGTAAAGTTTCTGTATCTCTAAGTTGATTTGTATAACAGTAATTGTATAACAATCATGTAGCTATCTTCTTTCAACACAAACAAATTCTAATGTCATTGGTTCTTAAAATACAGTATGGTTTCAGAACTTGGAATAGTTAAATCTTTAGTAATTTCAGCTGTGTTGAAGCTTGAGATGTGGGTAAAAGAATGTAGTGTCAAAGCAGAGCTAACTTATAAAATTTGTGTCTAAGACATTTGAATTTCAAGATTGACTCTTAATTACAGTTTGATAAGAGTTTTTAGTATATAGTTTTCTATTAAAGGAGGCCAAAACAGGCCTATCCATTATAACACTAAAAGGAAGTAATTTTCTCATATTTAATGTACGTCCGTCTTTCCAATTCCAGAGGACCTGACTGGGACACTGAATTGTATGCAGACGGGGGTGCTACTGTCAGGGAACTTCTTAGTGAACTCTACGGCAAAGCCGGTGAACTTCGGCACTGGGGTCTGATCCGATCCATCTCTGGGATCTTACGGAAGAAGGTGGAAGCACTTGATGAGGTACAAAGAAGATCTACATGGGGACACTTGGGAAGTTACCTCGGGGCTGGGGGGATAGCACAAAGATAGGGCGCTTGCCTAGTGTTCCTGGGAGCCTCGGTTCAAGCCTTGGCACAGCCATGGGGAAAACCTTGATTTTCCTAATTGTTTTTCAAGCAACCAAACTTCTAATTGTTTTCAATCACACATAAAGTTTCTGATACTCAGTTAGCTTTTTATTTGTGAATGGCAAGTATATGTTACTGAACCATAAGAACTACAGATTTTGAGGTGTAATAAACCATAAGACTTTGAGATCTTAGTGAATTTACGCTAGGCTGAAAGTCCCTGCCTTCTAGAAAGCGAAAGTGCCTCATGGTTTCTTCCTGGAAGTCTGTCTTCTGATCATATTTCGTAAGAAGGAGAGCTTGGTGTAAGTTAAGAGGGAGTAAAGTTTTGTGGGCTGAGGATAAAAATGTTTGGAAATCTGAGAATTTTGGAAAGGGTAAGCTATGCTACCTGTTTCTAGGCCTGCACAGACCTTCTCTCCTACCAGAAACACCTCACAGTAGGACTTCCTCCAGAACCTCGAGAGAAGACCATCTCTGCGTGAGTGAGGCCTGTGGTTGGGTTTTGATAAGGTTTCTCTGCACCTTTAAGAAATTGTGTGACTTACCACAGTTCTCTTGCCCTAATTTGTATAACATCTTATATACAGAGCTGCAGGAGACTGACGGGGCAGAAGTAAATGAAAGAGAAAGCTTATAGGAAGTAATACTTAATTCTTTTTCTTATTGGCTTTTCCTAAATCCCTTAATTCTACTCATTCTAAAAACACATAAAAACGCAGGACATCAGGAATTAACAACATACAAGTCAACTATAGTCTGAAAAGAAATAGAAGAAAGTATATGGCTAGAGCATTGGGTTGTTACTGATGCAACTCCATGCTGCTGAGGAAGGACTCAAAGGTGTGAAGGTCAAAGTTGAAAGGGGCAATGGGCCCTTACAGAGCCTCCTGAGTTAGCATGTCTGCACAAACACTGCCATCAGATTGCCACTGGCCCGGTTTGCTGCAGCTTCTGATTAGCAGTAGTCCCCTAGGATAGGCTGGGGCTAGAGTGGGGGATGGAGCACGTACACTGGAAGTTTAATTCCTACATGTGAGTAGCCATTACCACTAGCCATTCCAATAAAGCTCACCGGCATGAAGTCTATTTAATTTCAAGTTATGCTAGTGCCAATATTTAAATCTACAAGCAGATTGTATTTGTAAGAAATATTCTTAGAGGGATTCTAACTTCATAAGTGATGAGAAATCAATCTGCTTTCCTATGAAAGAATGATCTAAGAACCCCTGCCTGCCAGATCTACTTCAATAACCAGTGTAGTGAAAAGGGTTGTTTTTAATTGATTAATTTTTTTAAACGGTCTCACTGTAAGCCCCAGACTTGTCCCGAACTTGCAGTCTTCTCACATCTTGATCTCCTAAGTATTAGGATTATAGGTGGGCACATAGGCTAATGAGTTTATTTTGTAAACAGAGCTCTAGATACAGAACTTTACAAGGAATAAATGAGAGAGAAGTTAGCAGGGATACCTTGGTGATTTCTGCAGACCACCTCATTCCCAGTTCATATATATGATTTCAACTGCCTCTGAGGTCCAGTTCAGAGTTCTGGATGGAGACTTAGACATGTCCTAGGACATGTGTCACAGGTTCTATAGATAAAGTCTTAGTTATACTTTGGGAAAATAGTTTGGCTAACTTGCTTGGACTGCCATAATAACAAAATATCACAGACTGGGTGGTTCAAACAACAGAAATGGACTCTCTGACAGGTTCCCAGTGTCAGAGGGGTTGGTTCCTTCTGAAGGCTGTCAAGGACCTTGTACTAGGCTTCTTGGCTTGTACCTGGTTGTTTTCCTCTATGTTTCTTTATATTTTTCCATCCTATCCATGTCTTTGTGTCCAAGTTTACCCTTTTAATAAGGACACCAGTCACATTAGATCAGGAACCATCTTAATAACTTCATTTTAATCACTTCCAAATATCATATTTTCCATTAAAATCACACTTTGAGGTACTAAAAGTTTGAATTTCAACGTATGTTGAAATTTATGTTGAAAGACGCAGTTTAACCTGTAATGCCTTGTTTTTAATAAACAGAACCTTGTATCACGAATAAGATCAGTTTTGGGTCCATATAGGCATTCCAAAAGAAGAATGCCTTGGCACGTTCTTGCAAACTATGCCATGTCAAGACTAGAGAGATGGCTCAGCAGAGGATGCCATACTGCTCTTGCAGGACCTAAGCTTGTTTCCTAGCTTCCACGTTGGATGAGGAGCTCATAACCCCTTCAACTTCAGCTTCCAGGGGTGGGGAGTGCTGTGACACCTCTGAACTCCGAGAGCACCTGCACTCGGCACGTGCTACCCTCCCACACACACACACATAGATACAATTAAAACTAAAACCACTCAGAGACCTGAGGCAGGAGAATCAAAAATTGAATGCCAGTCTGGGCTACATAGCAAGATCCTATGTAAAACAAGCAAACAACCCCCCCAAAATACACAACAAGAAGACCACTCACAGAAAAGTTTGAAAGTAACAAATATGAGTGTATATATATCTGTGTGCATGTGTGTTTGCAACTGTAGCTAAACCAGTGAAACTTTTTGAACGATCAGCATAAGGTGTGACTATAAAGTAATAAAATGGTTTCCAAAGGACACAGCTTAAAAATAGCTTATTTCGGCCGGGCGGTGGTGGCGCACGCCTTTAATCCCAGCACTCGGGAGGCAGAGTCAGGCGGATCTCCGTGAGTTCGAGGCCAGCCTGGGCTACCAAGTGAGTCCCAGGAGAGGCGCAAAGCTACACAGAGAAACCCTGTCTCGAAAAACCAAAAAGGAAAAAAAATAGCTTATTTCTTTGTAGCCATTATACTTACTTGTCAGTGTCTGGAAAGACATCAAGGGGTGAGTTTTAAATGAAAATGATGTGAATATGGCCAGAGTGGGCCTCAGAGGCAGTGAATGAGCTTTTTGCTCTGAAAGAACTAGAAGTGATGAAGGGTTGTGGCAGTGGTTTGGACTGGCATTGAGTTTTTAACTTTTAAAATGTATTTAGGTTAAGTTATTGTAGACTTTGGTCTTTATTCACTGTTTTCTTCCTTAGACCTCTACCATATGAGGCACTCACTAAGCTGATAGATGAAGCCAGTGAAGGAGACATGAGCATTTCAATCCTTACACAGGTGGGCAGCATTGAAAAGCCTAACCTGGCAATTGATATTTCAGTATTTGTTTTTAATTGACCTCACCATTTACAAAGACAACGAAGTAGACATTGTGACACCCTTGCTGTAACTCTTGTTTCTATCCATTCTGCACACAGGAAATAATGGTGTATCTTGCTATGTACATGAGAACTCAGCCTGGCCTCTTTGCTGAGATGTTCCGACTTCGAATTGGGCTGATCATACAAGTTATGGCAACAGAACTGGCCCAGTCTCTTCGATGCTCAGGTATTTATTTCATTCGCTAACTAACTTTAGGTGGAACTCACTTCTAGTGCAGATCCCTGGAGTTTGGAATCAGGAAGGAAAGGAAGGTACAGTTTATTTATCCATAGCTCAGAAGCTGTGTTTGTCAGTCAGTAACTAAAGGAGCAAAAAGATGACACATTTGTATACTGGTTCAATAACTTCCAAGTGTCACCTCCTGGGGACTCTGCATTCCACATTCTTCTTGATACCTCAAGGGCTTTAGAGTTTGGCATACTGTGTTGGGCTGATGGAAAGAAGGAAGCTTCTGGACATCAAGTGTGAGTCGCTAATTAGTGCATCACAGTGTCAATGGTCTGTCAGTATGAAGATCGAACAAGGAAGTATTTTATTAACACTCATCTAACAAGTGTAGTAGTACTTTCTCATCAGGACCACCAGCCCATAAATAATGACCCAGAGACTTATTATTGATTATGAAAGTTCAGCCTTAGCTTAGGCTTCTTCCTAACTAGTTCTTATAACTTAAATTAACCCATATTTTTTAATCTATGTCCTTCCACAAGGCTTGTTACCTCATCTCCATACTGTCCATCCTGCTTCCTCCACATCTGACTGGCAGTTCTGCATTTCTTCTTCCCAGAGTCCTCTCTGTCCCTGGAAGTCCTGCCTAACTTCTTCCTGCCTGGCTATTGGCCATTCAGATCTTTATTAAACCAATCAGAAGGCACCTCGGCAAGGACACATCTTCACAATGCAAATATTCCACAACAAACAAGACTTGAAATTATTTATAGGTTTGCCAAGATAACAGTTTCAGTTAGGAAAGTAATTGGGGCCAGAGGAAGCTATACAGTAGAGTTGTCACACAGGTGTATCCAACCTTGACAGTGCTACACAATCTTTGAGAACCGTGTAATTGAGTTTTTCAAAAGCCAGGCAGTGGTGGCGCATGCCTTTAATCCCAGCACTTGGGAGGCAGAGGCAGGTGGATCTCAGTGAGTTCAAGGCCAGCCTGATCTACAGAGCTAGTTCCAGGACAGCCAGAGCTGTTACACAGAAAAAGCCTGTCTCAAAACAAACAAACAAACAAACAAAAAACAATAAAAAAGAAAGAAAGTAAAGAAATGGAGGAAGGCTGGGTGGGGGTGGCCTGTGCCTTTAATTCCAGCACTTGGGAGGCAGAGGCAGGCAGATCTCTGAGTTTGAGGTCAGCCTCAGTTTTACATTTTACATTAGAGTGAGTTCCAGAACAGCTAGGGCTACACAGGGAAACCCTGTCTCCAAAACAAAACAAAACAAAAAACAACCCATAACTTTCATGCCTTTAATTACAGTACTCTTTGTGAGTTTGAGGCTAGCCTGGCTTACATAGTGCTATATGCTGAGATTGTGTCTCCAAAAACAGGTCAGATTTTTTAAAATAGGTTTACAATTTTGTATTAGGACACATTTATAACTATACTTGACTACATGTGTTCTACAGGCTGTGAGTTAAACATGTCTAAAGTAGGTTGGGCGGTGGTGGTGCACACCTTTAATCCCAGCACTTGGGAGGCAGAGGAGGGCAGATCTCTGAGTTCGAGGCCAGCCTGGTCTACAGAGTGAGTTCCAGGACAGCCAGGACTACACAAACAAACAAAATTCCTAAAGTATAAGAGGATTGGGGTGTGAGGCAGACTCCCACAGCATAACTCTTCTTTTCCATTTTAAAAAAAGTTTCAACAAGAATGACAAAATAGAAGAGCTAGAGAGGGCATGGAAAATCAATCACAGCTGCAAAACTCAAACTAAGACCTGTTTCGTTTAAATTCCCCACAGCAGCTTTTAAAAATATTTATATTTAATAATGTGTATATTTGCATGTCTATGTGTACATATGTGAGTATAGGTTCCTGTGTAGTTCAGGAGATATCAGATCCCATGGAGCTGGAGTTACAGATGGTTGTGAGCCACCTGACATGGATGTTGGGAACTGAACTCAGGTCCTCTGCAAGAGCAGTATGCGCTATAACCACTAAGCCATCTCTCCACTTCCCCACATGGTTTTTTTCTGAGGGGCTGGAGAGATGTCTCAGCAATTAAGAGCACGGGTTCCTATTTCAGAGAATCTAAGTTTGAATCCTATCACCCACATGGTGATGAACAGCCATCTGAATTCCAGTCCCAGGAATTTACTGCCCTCTTCTGGCTTCCATGAATACTACATACATGTGATACATAGATATACATATGCAGGGAAAATACCCGTACTCATGAAATAGATAAATATGGTCAGTGTTTTTTTAAATTTGAGATGTTCCTTATGTAGCTCAGGTGTGCCTGTAATTTGTGATCTTCCTGTCTTCACCTCCAGAGTACTTAGATTATAGGCAGGTGTCACCATGACTGGTGCACAAAAATATATATATCCTTCAAGAAGAGAACCAACCATTATTTTATGCCTGTTATTTACAAGATACTATATTATTTGGTTTTATATTTATATAAATTAATAAATATAAATATATATATGTTTATATATTGTCTTATTTAATCCTTTCAACAACCCACAAGAGAACACAGTATCTTTCTATTTCTGCCAATAAAGATAGAAAAAAAGTATCAGGCAGGAGGTGATGGCTCACAGCTTTAATCCCAGCACTCAGGAGGCAGAGGCAGGCAGATTTCTGAGTTCAAGGCCAGCCTGGTCTACTGAGTGAGTTCTAGGACAGCCAGGGCTACACAGAGAAACCCTGTCTCACCCCACCACACACACACACACACACACCAACCCCAACAAAAAGAAACTGAAGGGTAGAGATGTTGAATAACTTGCCCAACATTGCTAGTATTTAGTAGAATTTGAAGCCCTGTCAGTCTGATTTCAAATGATTTCCAGTATTGTATAGGATTCTGCAACTGTGGTATCAAGGGATGTTTTTTCAGAGGGTGTCTGTCCTAGTTAGGTCTCTATGGTGATGATAAATATCATGACCAAAAGCAGCTTCTGGGGAGAAAAAGGTTTACTTCAGCTTATAGCCTAAAGTTCATCATGTGGAGTCACGGCAGGAGCTGATGCAGAGGCCATGGAGGGGAGGGAGCTGCTCACTGCCTTGCTCCCCATGGCTCACTCAGCCTGCTTCCTTATAGAACCAGGACCACCTGCCCAGGGGTGGCACCACCCACAGTGACCTAGGTCCCCCATATCAGTCATTAATAAAGACATACCGCACACACTTGCCAGAGGTAATCTAATAGAGCCATTCACTCAAGTGAGGGTCCCTTTTCCCAGGTGACTCTAGTTCATGTCAAGTTGACAGAAAAGAACAACACAGTATGGTTCCTCGGTAATAAACCTCAGTCGTGATAAAACTCTCAATCATTCTTTACTGTTCCTTGTCTGCAATGGAGTCTTCCTGTTGGTGCCATCAAAATCATGGTGCTCCATTTTATAGGATGAAAGCCAAGATTCCTGGGTCTAGCCTATAGCTGTTAGTGCTTCCTACCAAATGTGTTACCAGTTTCTATTCTTGGAGATTGATGTATCCTCTGATTTCCAAACAATCACTGGTTATATTGCTCAGTTAAGCTGTGTTGTCTACAATATTTTGTTATGTTTTATGTTGTTTCTCTTGTTTACATGTTGTTCTATCCCTCCAAAATTAATGGTCAACCTCTCAAAGTCAGGCACTATGTGTCAGACCTGCTTGTACTTACATTGCTTAAAATGGTGACTCCTATGGAGTACTCTGAGTAAGTGACTAATGTTGATGAACACGTTCGAGTTACCCTCGGTATTCTTAGTAAATTCGCACTCTCCTCCGTTCTCTTGTAACCATACACGTTGAGAACTTCTGTGTTGAACTGCATGCGCATGTACATTCATTGCTGTTCTCTGAATGTCTTCCACTTCTTCATTCTTCTCACCTTCAAACAAAGACTGATGGCGTTACCCAGCAATGTGGAAATAGGATGAAGAAGAAACTAGTGGGCTAGCTAATCTCCAAAGTAGGGAGTCAGTTCTGAAATAATGAAAAATCTAGTGCTGTCTGACTAACCAATGGTATGGTGTTAGAAATGTTCTCTATAACTACATCTTCTAAAGTAAGTGACTGAAAATCCTATGAGAGAAAATTGAGGGTCTAATCCCCAGCTTAGAGGAGAGGGCACATCCAAATAAGCAAACCAAGTGTGGTCACATGTGCCTGCAGTTCTGTCACTTCACAGACTCAGGCAGGAGGATGGTAAGTTTCAGACTAGGCTACCCAATGAGAGCCTGTTTCAAGGAGAAAATGGAAAATAAGGAGGCTATGGTAGACAAGCTAGAATCCCTTCTGCCTGCCTTTCTGTTCATTAGCTGAAGAAGCCACCGAGGGCCTGATGAATCTGAGTCCTTCAGCCATGAAGAACCTCCTGCATCACATTCTCAGTGGCAAAGAGTTTGGAGTGGAACGGAGCGGTAAGACCCAAGCACTGAACTTGATTTCAGGGTACTTCATTTCAAATCGCAGTTTTGGAATGTTTTTCTTCTATCACAGGGGCTCCTAGCCCCAAAATAAATAAAATTCAAGGAAATGAAACATTTAAAAGCCGTCTTTTGGAACAAGATTTGAAAACTGAAATAGTTCAGTTTAACACAAGGTTTTGGACGGGGGTGGGGATTGTTCAATGGGTAAAGTGTTTGCCACACACACTTCATGACCTGAGTTGGGATCTCTAGCACCTAGATAAAAGCTGGGCTCAGTAGCTTGTATCTGTAATCACCATGACCAAAAGCAACTTGGGGGAGAATGGGTTTATTTGGCTTCCATGTCCTGGTCACAGTCCATCCCTGAGGGAAGCCAAAGCAGGAACTCAAGTGGACACCATGGAAGAATGATGTTCACTGGCTTGCTCCTCATGGCTCGCTCAGTTGGTTCTTTCTGCCACCTAGGCCCACCTGTCTACAATGTCCTGGGCCTTCCCACATCAATCATTAATCATGAAAATGCCCTGACAGACTTGCCTACAGGCCATCTATTGGAAGCATTATCTCAGTTGAGGGTCTCTCTTCTCAGATGACTCTAGTTTCTGTTAACTTGACAAAACAAAACAAAACTAACCAGCACACTCCTATGGGGAGATGGGAGGCAGAGACAGGAGAATCTCAGAAGCATGTGGGCCAGCTAGCCTGGCACATGCAGCATTGAACAAGAGAGGCCTTGTCTCAAACAAGGTAGAAGTCGGCGAGCAACACTCAAGGTTCTTCTCTGACCTCCACATGTTTATTCTCTCCTCCCCTCCCCGCTCTCCTTCTCCCCCCCACAGACACTTTTTTAAAAAGATTTGGAAACATACACATATATCTTTTTCCTTAAATGATATACAACTAAGTAATAGCTGTCATGTTTCATTACAATTCTTATTTACATTTATTTATTTATTGTCTGTCTGTGGTATTGGGGAGGGGTACCACAGCGCATGTGTGGAGGTCAGAGGACAACTTGCAGGAGTTGGTTCTCTCCTTCCACCATGTGGGTCCCAGGACTTGAACTCAGGTCATCAGACTTCGTAGCAGGTGCTGGTACCTGCTGGGCCATCTTACCGGCCCTCATGTTTCCTTTTTAACTGTGTAGAAAAATTACCTTTTGTTGACCTAAGTCAGGAGGACAACTAAAAACTCAATCTTTACTGTACTCAAATTGGCGGTAATTCAGTAAAATTGATAATGTTATGGGTGTATATGTATGTTTGTAGTTACAACATATCTGCTGTAGCCTTTCAGCCTTAAATTCTAATGCCTGTAAGAGTCTCTCACAAGCTAAGCTTCAAATGCACTTTCTACATTTTTATTAACAAGTGTTAATTTTATATATCACTGAGATTACAAGTGTTATTTTAGTACATACATAGAGCATGTGTTAGTCAAAACCAACATGTACTTTGGGTTTTTGCATCATTATTCTCCCAAAGAAGGAGAACAAGAACCTGACGAAGTTTTAAAAAGGATTATCTCCTATATTCAATTATTATTAATCTTATTTTTTTCAAAGAGGGATGGCTAGACTTTAGCGTGTTTTGTTTTGTTTTTAAAGTCTGTTGTGTCCTTGCGTAGCTTCCAGGGACAGAGCTGACTGGGGTGGTGAGGGAGTGAAGAAAAGACAACTATGTGCAGACACACAGAAAAGCTAAAATCCGTGCACTGGGCTCTGATGGAGAAACCACAGCATCACCCAAGCTCATCCTGTTTCCTATATACAGTTGAACCGAGAGCTAGGGCTATTACACACAGCTGAACAAGGAGGCAGAGTTAGCTAATTTCCATAGGAACAGTCTTAAGGCTGCAAACATCTGGGGAAAGAAAACTAAGGTGGACGTTTTCTGCACACACTATCAATATTCACACTCAGATCACCAAGGAAGGCTTTTCTATCCCTCTGAACCTCACACATGGGGCTGCGACATTGGAGTCCTTGACATGCCAGTGTCAACAGCCTACATTCACTCAGGACTTCATTCACTAGGGCTTCCTCCACTCCCCACAAAAGTTAGAAAGCAGGAGCTGAAGAGACAGCACAGTGGTTAAAAGTACTTACTGCTCATCCAGAGGACCCAAGTTCAGTTCCCAACACCTGTGTAGAGCAGCTCACAACTGCCTCTAACTCCAGCTCCATGGAATCCAATTCCCTCTTCTGCACACATGTGTCATGCATTTGTGTATACATATGCATGTGCATGTGTGCACACACACAAATACAACACACAAATAAAAATAAATCTTTTTAAGTTAGAAAATAGTACTCAGGCTGGAGGTATTTCTAAAATGCAGATTCTGAGTTAGTAGGTTTGATATGGGACCTTTGGTGCTGATGGTATTGGTCCAAGAACCACACTTAAAACAGCAAGGTTGTACTAGTTTTTTTAGTTAAAAAAAAAAAAGAAAGATGTATGTTTAAGTCCTTTTAACATGGTAGAGAAAATTAGATGTGTTCTTCTTTGATCTCTTAATCTGTACAGTTCGGCCCACTGATTCAAATGTGAGTCCTGCTATTTCCATCCATGAGATTGGTGCTGTTGGAGCAACGAAAACAGAACGAACTGGAATCATGCAGTTAAAAAGTGAGATAAAGCAGGTAAGATCTAAGCTCAATGAGGTATCACAGTTAATAATATTCTTAGCTGGATGTGATGGCGCATATCTGGAACCCCGTCCGTATGCAGGGGCTAGAGGTTGGAAGATCAAGAGGTCAGGTGCAGGTAGCCTCCTCAGCTACAAAGCAAGATGGAGGCCTGTCTGGAATACTGGAGGCACTGTCCAAAAACGAAATCAAAACCAAAGCATCATTTTGGAATCCGACTTTGTTAGGATAATTTCTTTTGCTTCATATCCGGAGTGTAACTTGAACCATTTCTTTTTCAGGTGGAATTCCGTAGACTGTCTATCTCTACTGAGAGTCAGGTGAAGCAACAAGAGATCTTTTAACATTAACTGGCCTTTACTTACCCTTTTAGAATCAGACATTGTTGCACTAATTTATTTAATTTCATAGCCTGAGTATAACTTGAACCATTTCTTTTTCAGGTGGAATTCCGTAGACTGTCTATCTCTACTGAGAGTCAGGTGAAACAAAGATGTTTTAAACATATTTTAGCCAGCCTTTAATTCCATATAGCATGCATGACCTTATGAGCTTTCCACAAGTAATAACAAACCATGGAAGCTCCCTCACAGCAACTGTTTGTAGATAGTTTTCCCTTTTTGTCTGGATCAAATGACTTAATTTTTGGAGGAATGTAGCTGGCAACAGATAACAAGAAACTGATGCCCTGGGTTCCCTAATGTGCAATTTATAATGGATTTTTCTTTATAAAAGTAGACAGAGTTACTGCTTTTAAGAATAGCTAGCTGGAGAGATGGATCAGCAATTAGGAACACTGGTTGTTCTTGCAGAGAACATGGTTTTGTTTCCCAGCATCCACATTGTGGCTCACAACAGTCTGTAACTCCAGTTCCAGGAGATTTGGTGCTGTCTTCCACTGCATGAATGTGGTACACATATGTACATGCAGGCAAAACACTCATACACATAAAATAAAAATAAATCTTTTTTAAAAATGGGGGCCAGCAAACTTCTGCCCTCCAGGGTTCTCCCATTGTGCTGTAAGCCTGTATTTAAGACCTCCTCCCAGCCGGGCGGTGGTGGCGCACGCCTTTAATCCCAGCACTCAGGAGGCAGAGGCAGGTGAATCTCTGTGAGTTCGAGGCCAGCCTGGGCTACAGAGTGAGTTCCAGGAAAGGCTCAAAGCTACACAGTGAAACCCTGTCTTGAAAAAAAAAACCACAAATAAATAAATAAATAAATAAATAAATAAATAAATAAATAAATTTTAAAAAATGGGGACCAGAGAGATGTCTTAGCGGTTAAGAACACTTGCTGCCTTGGTGGGGGACCCAGGTCCAGTTCTCAGTACATACATGGCTCACACCTGTTCTTAACTGTAGTGCCAGGGTACCAGATGTCCTCTTCTGACTCCATGGGCACCAGGCACATACATACTGTACATATGCACATGCAGGCAAAGCATGCATACACATAAAATTTAAAAATATATTAGTTATTCAAAAAATATATATTAGTTATTCAAAAAATAGGTATGCCGAGCAGTGGTAGTGCATACCTTTAATCCCAGCACTCAGGAGACAGAGGCAGGTGGATCTCTGTGAGTTCGAGGCCAGCCTGGTCTACAGAGTTTCAGGACAGCCTGGGCAACACAGAGAAACCCTGTCTTGAAGGGAAAAAAAAGGTACTGGAGAGAGTACCAGATTAGGTTAAGGCTTTGTTTTTTTAATCTTTTTGGTGGGTTTAACATGTCCAAGGCCCTGGGTTTCATCCCAGACCCATAAAAATAAATGACAGAATGGTTTTACTAGATTTTATCACAAAGTTAGACTTTCTCATTAAGGTCCATTGAGTGCTACATACAGATGAAGAGGAGGAGCATCTACACAGGACCAGGAATCAATAGGAGTCACCAAACAATATATTATGGCTTCCTTTCAAGGAGGCAATAATGAATGACTTGTTGCATTATACAAAGAAGTACCTAGTATCTTTGACAGTTCTGGGAATCATAGTATTTTAAGATCTCCTAGTTGAGAAGGTGCTGATTGAATTCCTTTTAGTAGCACTTCCTTTGTATTGTTTGAGAATTCCACACATGCATATAATACATTTTGATCAAATCTAATCCTCAATCCTTCCTGTCTTCTCCATGCCCCCCACCCTTTCCTCACAGAACTTCATGCACTCTTTTTTTTTTTCAAACCCACTAAGTCCACTGAGTGCTGCTAGCGGGTGTGTGGGCGTAGGGCTGTCTACTGAAGCATGAGCAGCCTTTTAGGGGCCACATCCCCGAAGAGAACTGACTTTCTCTCCCCCACAAGCCATCAACTACCAATAGGTCCTCCTCTGGGAGTGGAGTTCCTGAGCCCTTCCCTATCCATGCTTAGATTTTGGCTGACTTGATTTTGTGTATGGTATGAGTTGATGTGTGCAACAACCATGTCCTTTCTGGAAAACACTGTTCCACGGTGCTCCTCTTTAAATCTTCCCACTCCCTCTTGCGCAGTGATCCCTGAGCCTTGAGGGTCTGTGATATAGATGTCCCGTTTAGGGCTGAGCAAAAGAAACTCCTTGCACTAAGTCTGGTATGGACATGAGTACTTCGGGGCAGTTTGATACTATGTCCACGTAGACGAATGACTGTAGTAAGTTCTCTCCTAGGGCCTATGACCGAAAGACTATACTTGCAGAGATCATTTCTATAGTTATTAATAGCACTTCTTAAGAAAGGCTTAAATAGAATTTAAAAATACAATTATAATAGCTTACACATTAAAACATCCTGCATAGAAGAGGCAAAACAAGATATTTTTGTTTCTTTAAAAGGGAGCTCTGAAACCATTTAGGAGAATAAGCCAGTGCTTGAAGCCTACTTTTGAAGGAAATGAGTACTTTCCTTAAATATCCTTTGGTGTTCATATTTTATACAACGGGAAAATTGGAATAAGAAGATGGGGCTGGAGAGATGGCTCAGCAGTTAAGAGCGCTGGCTGCTCTTCCAGAGGACCTGGGTTCAGTTCCCAGCAACCACAGCATCTGTTACTCCAGCCCCAGGGAATCTGACAGCTTTTTCTGGCCTCCATGGCCACTGTTTGCATATGGTACACAGACATATATGTATGCAAAACACATCCATACATGTAAAATAAAAATACCAAAGATAGTTTAAAGGAAAAAAGGAGCTATTCTGTTTTTAAACAAGCGTTCATGTTCCAGTTTTTGCCAGGAAATTTTAATTATCTGAACATTTTTGTATTTGAAAGTGGAAAGGACAACTTCAGTGCTGAAAAGTTTGTCATTGACTTGACTAGTTAGCGATCCTTGCTTTGGTTGACACTGACAATAGTGTTGGGGTTTGTTTTGTTTTCTTGTGATAAGGTCTTTCTATGTAGCCCTGGCTGTCCTGGAACTCGCTCTGTAGACCAGGCTGGCCTTAAACTCACAGAGATCCGCCTACCTCTGCCTCCCGAGTGCTGGGATTAAAGGTGTGCGCCACCACCGCCTGGCTTTTTTTTTTCTTTAATGTGGGTTCTGGGTGAAGGAGGGTCAGGGGTAGTTGGGCCAGTATGGAAAACAGGGACTGACTGGTTCCTTAAGGAGGAGCTGTTCCCTGCTGTCCTCCCCCAAGGATGTTGGATCCCTTACAATTTGCTAACTGAAGGTGGACAGGACCAATGAGGGAGAGAGATCTGCCTGCCTTTGTCTCCTCAGTGCATTAAAGGCCACCTACTAAGCAGGTTTGAACTGCTCGCCTCTGTAGCTGATGTTTTCCTGTGTTCTGGCCTGCATCCCCCATGTAAACACACAGAGGCTTATATTATTTAAACTGTTTGGCCTAATGGCTCAGGCTTCTAGCTATCTAGTTTTTATATCTTAAATTAACCCATTTCTATAAATCTATACCTTGCCATGTGGCTCGTGGCTTACCGGTATCTTACATCTCGCTTGTCATGGTGGCGGCTGGCAGCACCTCCTCCTCAGCCTTCCCCTTCCCAGAATTCTCTTCTCTCCTTGTCCCGCCTATACTTCCTGCCTGGCTACTGGCCAATCAGTGTTTTATTTATCAACCAATCATCCACAGCATGCCTCTGCCTCCAGGGTTCTAGAATTAAAGGCATGTACCATTACACTCAGGTCACATTATAGTTTTTATAGATATCCAGTATTATTTATAAATTCTTTATATGGCAAGTCAAAGTCCATATTGCCAGCTAGATGAATATGGTGGTTAACCTTACCTTTCCAGCTACTTGAGGTTTTTCTCCTCCATATTTACTATGTGTAGGTCTTCAAAGGGGCCCAGACTGTTCGAACAGGGAGCCCAGACTGTCATCCCTCTCTTACTTTATAACATTGCTTTCCATCCTTACCTGCCTGGCTGGTGGTTTGCATTTTTCTCTGCCACTTACCACTATTCTAATTTCTAGGTGAAGATATTTCAAGGTAGTCTGTACTTATTTTACCGTTTGCCATGGCATTTGGAGCAAACTTATTTCATTGGCTTTTAATGATAACATGTTGGCTAATTACTTAAATAATCTGTAGTTTAATACTATTAATAACTTTTTAAAACAAATAATGGTTGCCTTGCCTCTCCTCTTTAAAAGTTTTATGTTCTCAATTTCTTTTATAGACTAATGGTGGTCACCCCTCAGGTATAGATTTGATGTCACCGTCCTTTCTGGTAACTGATCTTGTGTTATCTCATGTTTCATTCACAAGTGCTTTGATATGCTGTTTATGGATCGTAACGTAGTATTTGACGATATACAAAAAACAAATTGGGAGCTGGAGAAATGGCTCAGTGGTTAAGAACACTTGGTGCTCTTGCAGAGGACCTGGGTTTCATTCCCAGCAGCCACATGGTGGTTCACAGCTTTTTAACTTTGAGGAACTCCTGTGGTATGCATTCATACACAGAAAATAAATCTGAAACTAAAAAATGAATAATCAATTAAAAACAAATTGATTGTGAACTAACATGACTATAAAGCAATTTCTTTTTTTTTCTTTTTTTCTTTTTGGTTTTTCGAGACAGGGTTTCTCTGTGTAGCTTTGGAGCCTTTCCTGGATCTCGCTCTGTAGACCAGGCTGGCCTCGAACCCACAGAGATCCACCTGCCTCTGCCTCCCAAGTGCTGGGATTAAAGGCGTGTACCACCACTGCCCGGCATAAAGTAATTTCATATAAAAGGTAGAGGTCTGTTTCTTTCCTAATAAGGTAGAAAAGGGAGTTCAACTCCAACCTCTTTCTGATTTCAGAAAAATAATCAGTTTCATAAGTTTTCGTTGTGTATATGTTCATTCTTTGGTCTGATGTAAGTGTGCATCACTGTGTATCAGACAGTAGACCACACAGCATCAACAGCAGTTTGGAATTTATTGAAAAACCAAATTTTGGTCTGTATCCTAGTGATACTGAATCAGAAAGACTGGGCTCGGCCCCAGTAATCTGTTCTAAGAAGCTCTTTAGGGATTCTGATGCACTTGTAAATTTCAAAGCTACTCTTGTTGTGACTGCTCTTCTGAGAAGTAATTCACTGAGTAAATGTGAACTAAATGCCAACTTGATGTCATTCACTGGAGATACAGCATTGAACAAAATGGAAGTGACTTGATGAAGCTCACAATTTAGCAAGATTCTTTTCTGATTAAATTTCTTTGATTTTTGTTTTTACCATTTTATTAGAACATATTCTAACATTTCATATTAAGCTATGAAATAATGAGTTTGGTTATGACATTTTATTTTATGTATAATGTACTTTAATCATATACATTTGTCTGGTTTAAATCAAACAAGTTGTGAATTAATTTGTCACAAACTGAAGAAATTTGGGCTAAACAAAAAGCGAGCTATTGGAAATGATATTTTGACTAACTTTAAGCAAATGCCCTGCATCGAATAAGGAGGAGTTTGCCAGCTTTGTGAGCTCCATGTTAATGATGACGGCATTAGTGAGTTTGATTTAGGAAATTAAATGAGAGAAGTTACTGTCTTAGAAAATATTTCTATAATCCTTTATTTTGTATTTATCTCTGAATCTAATTTGTCAAATAATCATTTTAACCAATGAATTTCCTCCTTTATTTAGCATAATTTTACAGAGTTCTTTATATTGTCATACATATTGCTATTCCATTCCTTTTTATTGCAGAATAATAACCATAGTATTGTCTCACCACACTCTCTTTATCTGTTTGCTCATCAGTTGATGGACATCTGAATAGTTTGATGCACAGTGTTGCTATTAACCTTTATGTACAGAGTTTTACATAGATATGTGTCTTAGGGTATTTATTGCTGTGATAAAACACCCTGCCCAAAAGCAGTTTAGGGAGGTTTATTTCAGTGTACATCACAATCCAATCAAAGTCCATCCTTGAGGGAAGTCAGGGCAAGAATTCAAACAAGGCAGGAACCTGGAGACAGAAGCTGATGAGAGGCCAGGGAAGAGGGCTTCTTACTGGCTTACTTCCCATGGCTTGCTCAGCTTGCTTTCTTACTTAGTTCAGGGCCGCCTGCCCAGGGATAGCACCACCCACAGTGGGCTGGGCCCTCCCCCATTAATCACTAATCAAGAAAATGCACTGTAGGCTTTCCTATAGCCTAATCGTATGAAAGCATTTTCTTAATTGAGAGTCCCTCTTCCCAGATGACTGTAGCTTGTGTTAAGTTGACATAAAACTAGCCAAAACTGCATTTTCATTTCTCTCAGATGTTTTTCTATGATCTGAGTAGTTACTTTCCCATTGCTGTAAAAAAGTACCTAACAAAAGTACTTATATTCACATATACACATATAAACACCAAAGGGTAGGATACACTCATATAAGAGAGAACATGCAGTATTTGTATTTCTGAGTTTGGGTTACCTCATTTAATACAATAATTTGCAGTTGTATTTATCTCCTACAAAATTTCATAATTTCATTTTTCTTTGCAGCTAAAGTTCCATTGTGTGTATGTTACACATTTTCATTATTCATTCATCAATTGGTAGGCATCTAGGTTGATCCCATTACCTTGCTATGGTGACTAGAGTAGCAATAAACATGGCTGATGTACAAGTATCTTTATGGTAAGGTGTAGAATCCTTTGGCTACATGCTCAGACACGGTATAGCTGTGTCAGATGGTAGTTCTGTTTTGTCGTCTTTTGAGAAGCTGCCACAGGATTTCCACAGTAGCTAACAGTGAATAAAGGTTCCCCTTCCCCCACCTGATCCTTGCCAGAATTTTTGTTTGTTTGTTTGTTTGTTTGTTTTTGAGACAGGGTTTCTCTGTGTAGCCCTGGGTCTCCTGGAACTCACTCTGTAGACCAGGCTGGCCTTGAACTCACAGAGATCCACCTGCCTCTGCCTCCCCAGTGCTGGGATTAAAGGTGTGCACCACCACCACCACCACCAGACTGTGCTTTCTTAGTGAAATTTAAAGTGGGCTTTTTACATTTTTGGGTTACAAGGATTCTTTTTATATTCTAAATACAACATTCTTTATGTGACTTGCATATATTTCCTCCTCCTGTGGATTTCTTTTTCATTCTTACCAATGTTCTTTGAAGATCAGAAGTCTTCCATTTTAACAGATCAGTTTTTCTATTTTTTCTTATGTTATTCATATCTAAGAAGTTGTTATCTAAATCAGTGCCACAAAAATTTAATTCCATTTTTGGACTATATGCTGTATTTTAAGGACTTTATTAAAATAGTTTTAGCCCTTACATTTGGGGCTATGATTATATTGGGAGGGCAACTCCCTAAGACTACCTCCAGCCTCAGTAATTTACTAGGAGTCACAGGACTAATCATAGAGTCATACAAGTGTGATGTAGTACAGCAAAAGGATAAACAACAAAATCAGCAAAAGAAAAGGTGCACGGGGTGAAGCCCATGGAAAACCACACAAGATTCTAGATTACTCCCACAGCAGAGCCATATAGGATGCACTAAAATCCCTCTAGTGACATGTTACAGCGTACATGAAGTGCTGCTAACCAGAGTAGCTAATTAAAGACCCAGCACAGAACCCAGGGTCTTTGTTTGGGACTGGTCATGTTAACAGCTTCTGTCTGGCATATCCCAAAACTCCAGACTCCCAGGAGGAAAGCAGGTGTTGTACATAAACTTCAGTGATGACATAATCCCTCCTAAAGCCCACATTTCCAGACTCCAGCCTATAGACGAAATTCTAAACCGTCTTACTAAATAAGAAACACAGAGCCAAATAGAGTTAAAAGCCCAAGAGACTCGGGAGGCAGAGGCAAGCGGATCTCTGTGAGTTCGAGGCCAGCCTGGTCTACAGAGTGAGTTCCAGGAAAGGCGCAAAGCTACACAGAGAAACCCTGCCTCGAAAAACCAAAGAGAGAGAGAGAGAGAGAGAGAGAGAGAGAGAGAGAGAGAGAGAGAGAGAGAGAGAGAGAGAGAGAGAGAGAGCCAAGACCACCTTATCTTACCACTCGCTGCCGTCTCTTCCCCCAGGGAAGGAGAGAGAGAGAGACAGACAGACAGACAGAGCGAGAGATCTTCTTCCTGTGTGTCTTCTGTTTTATTACTTTCCTGTTCTGCCTTCTCATTGGCTCTAAGCCCAGCCACAAGACTTCCTTGTCAGTGCCTGTCTATACAGACCTCCAGGTCTCTATGGTTGGTACTGGGATTAAAGGTTCAGGTCACCACGCTTGACTGTGTCCTTGACCACACAGAGACTCTGCCTGCCATGTGATCAGATTAAGGGCATGTGCTACCACGGGACTTCTGCTTAATGACTCACTTTTACCTCTAATCTCCAGGCAGCTTTATTAACATACAAATAAAATCACATTTCAGCACAAATAAAATATCACCATACCAGCCCAAGTGCCAACCCTGGAAAATGACTTTCAAAAGTAGCACTCTGTCTTCTGTTCTGCTGTGTTGACTATTTTAGCCACTCTCAAGGGCAGGACCCAGGCCAACACAAAATGAACTCCATGGGGTTTTGGGTTGGGGGTTTTGGTTTTCTTGTTTTTATATGGATGTTTGGGTATGGGGTTTTTGGTTTGTTTTTGTCTTATTGGTCTTTTGCTTGTTTGTTTTGATTTTCCTTTTGTGGTTTTTATTTGTTTGGGGGCTAAATATCTTTTTTCCCAAACAATTCATTTGGGCTCCCATTTTTGTATATAGTGTGAAATAAGAGTACAGCTTCATTGTTTGGCATGTGGATATCCAATTGTTCAGCACCATTTGTTTAAAAGACTACCTTTCCCCCCATTTAAATCTCTTGGAACTTTTATTGCCTTCTCTGTCTGCTATCATGGACTCTAACCCTCTGGAACCATAAGCCCAATTAAACACTTTCTTTCGTAAGTTGCCATGGTCACGGTGTTTTATCACAGCAATAAAAAAAGTAACATACAGAGGCTTGTGTTAAAAGTCATGAGAGTGACAAATAAAACCATAGACCACTAGATGTTAAATAGATAAGCCAGATAAACAGACAGTTTGTATTGTCCTCTGTTACTGATATTTTTACCATTGTTACTCTGAATCACCAGAGTGCTTTATAAAATGATTGTACATTACCCCAGAAAACAGCACACCAATTAGTTATCCAATACCAGTGGTCAGCCCTGAAAACATACGTATGAGTAACATGATACAGACTGAGCAGGTGGTATTTATATATTTAGGAATACATACATGTATATGAGAACAATGAAAAAGAGGCCCTGAGTTTGAAAAAGAGCAGGGAGGGATGTATGGGAGGCTTTGGAGGGAGGAAATGGAAGGGGGAATGAAGTAATTATACTATAATCTCAACAAAAAGAACTAATTTTAAATGATTATACAAAGCTACAACCCTGCAACCTGTACAGAGGTTGGCCAGCTTTACTGTCACCCATTACTGTGGCCCTTTCGTGTGCTTTCTCATTCTATAGAGTATTACTATTCAATTTGCTATACAGCATATACAACTTGTAGGTTTTGAAATTAAAATATAACTGTTAGGATACTTGATCACAGGGCCAGAGATCACTTTTGATTTACGTTCTTTCTTCTCCCAAGTCCCCTGCAGCCTGCATTACTGCAAGTAGTGGGTCCTTTCCTACTGTGTGTGGTCAGCAGACATCTAAAGACAGTCGTCAAGGTCAGTGGCAACGGCGGAGAAGACTAGATGGAGCACTAAATAGAGTACCGATCGGATTTTATCAAAAAGTCTGGAAAATTTTGCAGAAAGTGAGTATAACAGTGTTGTTCTTTATCCCCCTCTTGAAATTCTGAATCTATCTAGCTGACGTGTGACATAATCATAACATGACTGTAATTATATAAAGATAAAATGCTCAGATAAAGTGTAGACAAAAACACAAAACAATTGATTTATTATTGTGGCATTATTAATAATTTACTCTATTGTCCTTATTGTTACAATGATACCTTTTCTTTTGTTTTTTCCTTTTTTGGTGAGACAGGGTTTCTCTGTGTAGCCATGGCTGTCCTGGAACTAGCTCTGTAGACCAGACTGGCCTTGAACTCTGCCTGCCTCAGCTTCCCGAGTGCTGGGATTAAAGGTGCACCACCACTACCCAGGGGTATTGTTTCTAAATAAGGTTTTAAAAATCAGAACATCTCGGCCGGGCGGTGGTGGCTCACACCTTTAATCCCAGCACTCAGGAGGCAGAGGCAGGTGGATCTCTGTGAGCTCGAGGCCAGCCTGGTCTCCAAAGCGAGTTCCAGGAAAAGGCACAAAGCTACACAGAGAAACCCTGTCTCGAAAAACAAACCAAAAAAAAAAAAAATCAGAACATCTCGTAAAACATCGGTAGTGAACTTCTGCCCTCCGGGGTTCTCCCATTGTGCTGTAAGCCTGTATTTAAGACCTCTTCCCTCCTTCAATAAACAGCATTCGGCATAAAAAAAAGAATCAGAACATCTCTGCCTTTGGCCGTAGCTGGACATTGGGGGACATTGCACTACATTAGCTGCCAGTCAATAATGAGATGCTAAGTATCTTGCCTTCTTTGTTGTTATATGAAAGGCACTGCCATAAGACAAGTGAAAGCAAGAATGGTGGGTGGCACATGCCTTTAGTCCCAGTACTCTGGAGGCCACGGCTGGCAGATCTGTGAGAAATCCTGTCCCGAAAATCAAAACAACAAACAAAACAAACAATGAAGTATTTGGGGATTTGCAGAGGTAGCTCTACTGATATTTTTTCTTAGATGAAAACCACTAAACAAATGAAAAGCTGCAATAATGCTCATAGTTCAAGAATACTCTTATTTTTGTTATTTTTTTTTTTGAGACAGGGTTTCTCTGTGTAGCTTTGGTGCTTTTCCTGGAACTCACTCTGTAGACCAGGCTGGCCTCGAACTCACAGAGATCCACCTGCCTCTGCCTCCAGAGTGCTGGGATTAAAGGTGTGTGCCACCACTGCCCGGCTTGTTGATTTTCTTTTATATTTAATTATTTTATATATGTGTGTGCCTGAAGATATGTATGTGCATGCAGTGCCCACAGAGGTCAGAAGATGCCATCGGATCCCTTGGAACAGGAGTTCCAGGCAGTTGGTTGTGAGCCATCGTGTGGGTACAGGAGACTGAACTTGGGTCTTCTGCATGAGTAGTAAGTGCTCTTAACCTTTGAGCCAACTCTCCAACTCTGATTTATTTGTTTGGAGACAGGGTTTTGTTATTGTCCAGGCTGGCCTACCAATTCAAGATCCTCCCACCTCAGCCTCCTGGACTGCTAGGATTGCTGGCATACACCACCACACCAGGCCTAAATAAAACTCTTGTTGTGATTAATATTTGTTCCTATTTCTAAGGCTTGTAAGGGCATATCTCGCCATTGTGGTAGTGATAGTTTTAGAGGGCCAGGAAGACCATTATGCTCATTGATTGGTTTCATTTATACAAATGCAGACCTTTTTCTTTCTTCTGAGATAGGTCTCTAATAGCTCAGGCTGGCCTCGCTGTCACCAAGAATGACCTTGAACTGATCCTTCTGCCTTTATCTCCTGACTGCTGTAATTACAGGTGTGAACTACCACACCCAGTTATGCTGTTCTGGGGATTTTAGCCAAGGTTTTGTGCATGTAAGGCAGTGCTACCAACTGAGCCATCTCTCCATCGCATAGGTCTCATTCATACTCTCTTAGGTGCTACTTTTGCTTCATTGATTTAATAAGGACGTGAGAAATTCTTCATTAAGGACATCACAACCCTGACTTGGGACATCATCAGGTGGTGGGTTAGAAATAGTGAAACTTGATTCTTCACATTATTTGCTCTGAGGATCTTCACCTCATAGATGACTGAGAGTCTGCTTTGTAGCATCTATTATAGCATGATAGAGACCAGTATTATTTTCTCTCTCCAGTTATTCATGGATTACCACAATTAAACACAACAGGCATGCATTAAGTACTCTGTCTAGTATATAATAACTACAGAAAACATCTGTTCTTTATCATCAAGGAGTTAAATCTTGTGGCCCCCTCGTTTCAAAGCAACTATTATGCAAAGCCAAAATGATTTGTAATAAAGATGCCTAGTCACAAGGCAGACAAGATGGCTCTTGCCACCTTAGTTCCTTCCAGGGGACCCACATGATGGAAAGCAAGAACCTACTTCATGTAAGCTGTCCTCTGGCTTCCCCATGTTTGTGGACACGTGCCTGCCCTGACCACCACCACACACAAATAAATGTTTTAAAGGGATGTTTAATCCAGACTGTAGAATAAAAACAAAGGAATAGTTAAGTCTGCCAGGGCAGAAAGGGTATTTTTTGGCAGAATCAAAACCTAGATTTTGGGTCTTAAAGTAAGAGGTAGAACACATGCCTTTTCAGGCATGAATGTAACAATAATTTCATGTTTCAAAGCTACTAGTTGTCTATCCAGAGATTACTTAGTGTATGGAATATAGCATATAATTGTCCAACAGAGTCAGTAAACCTGTTGGTCATATGTGGTTTTTTTATATAGTATTTTGGCTTCTTCAGAATCTAAAATAAGTGATTAATTTCCATTGCTTTTTAATAGTTGAGTTGATATGCTGGAGTAAGGTAAAGAATTATTAATGTATCTATTGATCCAGGTATGGTGCTCCACATGAATACTTGAAAGCACTGGGGAGGTAGAGGCAGACTTCCAGTGTTCAAGGCCAGCCTCAGCCACATAGTAAATTTGAGATCAGATTAGGTTACATGCAACCATGTCTCAAATAATGATAATGATGATATCAATATTTATTGAGCATCTACTACATACCAGGCTCTGTTCTAGGTGTCTAAAGACAAAATAGCCAATAATTTATGTCCTTGTGGAACTGATATTACTTGCAATACATAATAAACAGTAAATGATGTATTAAAATGTTAAAAGGCGGTGGAAAAGAGGACAGGTTAAGAGTATTGATGAGGGACTCAACTAGAACAAGTAGGGATGGCTCCGGCCCACTAACACATGCTGTGAGTCAGGTTTGCCAGCCTAAGGCTCTTGAAGGCCTACTTAATTTCTTAAAAGTGTGTGTGTGTGTGTGTGTGTGTGTGTGTGTGTGTGTGTGTGTGTGTGTGCGCGCGCGCGTATGATGCTAAGGAGCACATGCCATAGCGTCCATGTGGAGGTCAGAGTACAACATCATGGAGTAAGTTCTCTCTTTCCTTTTTTACTTGGGGATTATGGGAGTAAACTCTTGTTATTGGGCTTGCATGGCTATTGGCAAGTACCTTTTACCTGTCAAATGTAGACGGATTTCTAAATGGTCTCATTAAATAAAAACACGGAGCCAAATATAGGGGTGAAAGCCACCAGCCAACCTTACCTACCAACTCTGCAGCTTCCAAGTGCAAGTTACTTCCTGTCGTCCCCCGTCCGTCCCCCCAACCCCCTACCCCCCACCCCACCCCCGCCTTTATTGCCTTGCTGTTCTGCCATCTGATTTGCTCTCTGTCTACCTACATCACTTCCTCTTCCTGGCCAGCTCTGTCACTTCATGTCTGTGTAGGCCTCCAGAACTCTATGGTTGGTACTGGGATTAAAGGCATGTGTCACCACTCTTGGCTCTGTTCCCTAGTGTGGCCTTGAACACGCAGAGACCCTGCTTGATAAGTGTTCGGATTAAGGGTGTGTGCTACCGCAGCCTGACTCCTTTGTTTACTTAAAATGGCTTGATGTTTCCTCTGATCTCCAGGCAAGCTTTATTTATTAAAGCATAAATAAACTATCACCACAGTCAAGCCATCTTTCCAGGCCTTGCAGACCTCCTGGTGATGGCTCTGGGACCTAGCATGATACTCTTCTAGGTAGTCTCTGTATCTGGTGTCTGTCTATCCCAGAAAGATCTTCCTGTCCACTCCACTCCCCTAAGAAGAGGACAAACTGTGGTAGTCCCATCCTGAATCTTGGCTCGTAGAAACCATGAAGCCATGCTTGGGCATGAGGGCTCTAGGGCTCTAGCTGGCCTGTGGTTGCTAAGTTCCTAAGCTGTGAAGCGCACTCAGAAATATGAAGTCTCTCGTCCTTCCCACTTGTTACTTCGTCTCTGGTAATAGCATGTTTTTCTATCTTGTAGTGTCATGGACTTTCGGTGGAAGGTTTTGTTCTTCCTTCTTCAACCACGAGGGAGGTAAGAGTCTGTCTTTTACATTTACATGATGGAAAGCTTGCCTGCCTGAAATATTTCAGTTATTAATTATCGAATTGATATTATTGAAACTAAATATGTCAGTTAGTTTTCAAAGAAACAGACCCATTTTTTGTTGGTTGTTTTTGCTCTTTTGGGGGGGCCCACCACCCAGCTCCCAAATCATCACATGGAGACTTATTCTTAATTATGAATACCCAGCCTTAGCTTGGCTTATTTCTAGCCAGCTTTCCTTAACTTAAATTATCCCATCTACCTTTTGCCTCTGAGCTTTTATCTTTCTCTATTTCTGTATACCTTTCTTTACTCCTTACTCCGTGGATTGCTGTGTAGCTGGGTTGCTGGCCCCTGATGTCCTTCTCTTCTAGTTCCTCTTTGTTCTTCTCCTCCCAAGCTTCTCTTCCTATTTATCCTCTCTGCCTGCCAGCCCCGCCTATCCTTTCTCCTGCCTTGCTATTGGCCATTCAGCTCTTTATTAGACCAATCATGTGTTTTAGACAGGCAAAGTAACACCGCTTCACAGAGTTAAACAAATGCAACATAAAAGAATGCAACACATCTTTGCATCATTAAACAAATGTTCCACAGCATAAACAAATGTAACACACCTTAAACTAATATTCTGTACCACTCATCCTTTTATAAATCAGTTGACTGTGACATGTATGAAGGAGGTAAGAATGGAATGGAGATATTAGACAGTAATAATATGGTTCTGGGGAGCTGGCTCAGTCAGTAAACTGCTTTGCTGTGCAAGTGTGAGGATCTGAGTTTGGATCCCCAGCCCCCTGTAAAATACAAATGGGCATAGCTGTGGAAGCCTGTAATGTGGTGTAAGGTCACACGCTGGGATGTGGGGACAGGTGGATTGCAGGAGCTTGCCAATTAGTCTAGAGGAAATGGAACACTCCAGGTTCAGTGAGAGACCCTGCTGCAAAAAAAGATGGAAAACAATAAAAAAAATCTCATTTCAGCTTCTGGCTTCCACATTTGCCTACACAATCAAGTATACCAGCACACATGTATATGACACACACACACATACACACCATACACATGAATAATTATATGTTTTGTTAATAATAGCTTCTTGTAATGGTTAATTACATTTTTTCTATGTGAGACTGGGAGTTGGAGAAGGCAAAGGGGGCACAAATGTAAGACTGAATGGCTTCTTACATTCTCCCATCTCTTTTATTCCAACCTTTCTCTAATAGGATACTTATAGACCTGTGCTGATCTTGACCTCTAATTATATATTAGAGCAGTGGTTCTCAGCCTTCTTAATGCTGCGACCCTTTAATACAGTTCCTCATGTGGTGATCCCCAACATAAAATTATTGTGTTGCTGCTTCATTACTATAATTTTGCTACTGCTATGAATCATAATGTAAAGATCTGATATGCAACCCCTGTGAAAGGGTCACTGACTCCTGTAGCAGGCTTTTTTGGACTGCCAGCCCCCAAATCATGACATGGAGACTTAATTATTAATTATGAATGCTCAGCCTTAGTTTAGACTTGTCCCACTAGCCTCTTATAACTTATAACCTATAACTTATTAACCTGTTTCTCTTCATCTATGTTTTGCCTTGGGGCTTTTTACCTTTCTTTCCTTCTGTATGTCCTACTTTCCTGCTTCCTCTGTGTCTGGCTGGCTGGCCCCAGGTGTCTCTGTCTCTGTCTCTCTGTCTCTGTCTCTCTCTCTCCCCCCCCCCTCTCTCCCTCTCTCTCCCTCTCCTGTCTTGAGCCTAGATTCCTCCTCCTCCTCCTTATTCTCTCTGCTTGCCAGCCCTACCTATCCCTTTTTTTTATTAGACTAATCAGGTGCCTTAGGCAGGCAAAGCAACACATCCTTACATTGTTAAACAAATGCAGCATAAACAAATGTAATACACCTTTACATAGTTAAAGTAATAGTCCACAACAGACCCCCCCCCAGGGGGTTGCCACCCACAGGTTGAGAACCTCTGTATTAGAGTAACTTTCTTTTCCAATTTAGTGAATTAGAGTTTCCAGAGAGGAAACCTGAGCATTTGTAATTTTTTAATCTATAGACTAACACTGATAAATAACCATGGTGGGAAAACATTGCCATGAAACACAGACATTGATTTTCAGATGTTTTTGATTGTTTTTGTACTTGTTAGTACAAGCTAGGACTAGTGAGTTTAGAAAGTGTAAAATTACAGTTTCAGCTGGATGTGCCAGTACTGAATGCTGAGTGTAATGTCTTGACCTTTAATGTTGTATACAAGCCTTTATATAATAAAGAACACCATGCTGCCTGTGAATTTAAACAGGTACATTCTGTGCATTTAAACGATGTTGAAATATTAATAGTAATGATGTAAACCTAATACCTTTAAGAGTCTTCAGAGAACTTTCAGCTTATTTAATTTGATTTTTCAGTCCAACTTTGTAAGATACTTAAGAAGAGAATGTCTTTCCCAGTTATAGATAAGGAAACAAACTTAGAGACTGGTTATCCAAGGTCATTTGACTCCTGACACAAGTTTTTAACCCATCTTCAGACTCCAAATCTACTTGCTTCTATAGAGTATAAACTCAATACAATTTTACCAAAACGCATTTCTCAATCTGCTTTACCCTGAAATAACTACTTCAAATTTTTTAAAAGTTTTAAATGTGTATGAGTGTTTTGCCTGCATGTATGTCTGTGTGCCACATGCATGCCTGGTCCCTGTGGAAGTCAGAAGGGATTGTATCTTCTAGAACTGGAGTTATGGATGGTTGTGAGCCACCATATTGGTATTGGGAATTGAACCCAGGACCTCTGGAAGAATAGTCAGTGCTCTTAACCACTGAGCCATCTCTCCAGCCCCATAACTGCATTTCTTAAGGTCCATTTTACTCTAACAATATGTCGCTATTTCACATAATTATACTCATCATAGTTGTCATTTTAAGTTTTATATCAGTGTTTTCTCTAGTCAGGGTCATTAGATTTAGTCTCCTAAATAGCTTCATAAAGCCTCCTGAAGTTGCTATAGCATGTCATCATTTACGCATTCATTGCCATGTTTAGGTTACATCAACTTTTGCACGTGTGACTGATACTACCATAAACATTTATACACATGGAGCCTTTTCTTCTCTGGATTATTTTCTTAGGACAAACTCCCAGAAATAATATTTGGGGTTAGAGGACATTGACATTTTTATGACTCTTGTAATGCATTACCAGATTGTACTTGCAAAACGACTGAGCCAATTTACACCATTCCGTTAAAGGGGCTGCAGTTACAGGGCTTGTTAATGCTTTTCTTTTGTTTTTATTTAACAGTTTTTTATTCATTTTACATATCAACCACAGTTCCCCCTCCTTCCTCCCTTCTTCCCCCCCCCTATCCACTGCAAACCTGGTACAATTCAGAAGAGGCAGGACCAAGCCCCTCCCCTCTGCACCAAGGCTGAGCAAGGTGTCCCACCATAGGTAATGGGCTCCAGAAAGCCAGTTCCTGCACCAGGGATAGATCCTGATCCCACTGCCAGGAGCCCCTCAAACACACCCAGCTACACCACTGTCTCCTGTATGCAGAGGGCCTAGGTCAGTCCCATGCAGGTTCCACAGCCATCAGTTCAGTCAGTGAGCTCCCACTAGTTCCAGTCAGCTGTCTCTGTGGGTTTCCCCACCATGATCTTGACCCCTTTGCTCATAGGTTTGATGTTCTTTGGTGACAGGATTCTAGAAAGTGACTTTCTCTTTTTCTATCACAGATGACCCCAGGCGAGATTAAATTCTCTGTCCATGTGGAGTCTGTCCTGAATCGTGTACCCCAGCCAGAGTACCGCCAACTTCTGGTTGAGGCCATCCTTGTCCTTACCATGCTGGCAGATATTGAAATTCATAGCATTGGAAGCATCATCGCTGTGGAAAAAATAGTACATATTGCCAATGACTTGTTCCTTCAAGAACAGGTAGGTTGCCTAATGTGGTGTACACCTGCAGTCACAGCACCCAGGAGTTGTAGGCAGAAGAATTGGGAGTTCAAGGCCAGCCTCAGCTACATAGTGCATTCAAGACCAGATTGGGCTACATGAGACCCAAGACATACAACAGATGTTTCCTTCTCTTAGCCACTATGAGAGAAGACGAAAAGTATCCAAGATTTTCTAAACAGTCCTAGTTTTAAATGCTCTGGAATGTTATCAGTCCACATACGAGAAAATATCCATTTTAGGCATAGACTCTAGATTTGGAATGTTTGCAGTCTTTTTGAATTAAGGTGGTTTAGAAAGAAAGAAAACCAAATGTAATATGAAGGAATACAAGCCAAAATCAGTAGGACTAGAAGATGGAGGTCCCAATGTAGTTCCACTAGGGTTATCTCCAAGTGCTAACATTATTTCTGTTACTAACATACACGAATCATTTAATCAATTTTAATTGATATTTAATTTTCAAAAATATAGTAGAAAATTCTAAATAGTAATTAAAATAACTTAGAGCTCTAGTGACAAATGCCATGTGTAGACATTCATATCCATCCTTCATTAGCCTGGTCCCCTTCTGCTCAAACAGCCCAAGACCTGGCGATGGGAAGGAAGCTCTGAGGTACACTAATCAGAGTTTGACTAAGTAGGACTGATAACCTTTCCTTCCCACTGTGTTTTCCCGTCTTCTAAAACCAAATAGAAAACCCTCGGTGCAGATGATGTCATGTTGGCAAAGGATCCTGCATCTGGCATCTGTACTCTTCTCTACGACAGCGCACCCAGTGGCAGATTTGGCACCATGACCTACCTCTCCAAGGCAGCTGCCACCTACGTGCAGGAGTTTCTGCCACACAGCCTCTGTGCCATGCAGTGAGGGCAGCGGCTTCTGGCTGCTGGGATCCTTTCGCCATCTGGTCCCTGGCTTGGTTGATTGTGCATGGAACTGAAATGTTAACACCTGACCACTCCCCATGCCCTTTTCCTGCCCGTCCCTCCCAAGAAGAGAGAACTTGGCTGATATCTCACCACTTTTGAAGAAAAGAACCCTGACTTGGAGACTCACTTCCGGTGTGAAGGTTCACCCGGCGGACAATCACTGTCCCTACTTCTTTCATGGTTCATAAAAGTCTGCATGTGGTTTTACTCTGTAGGAGCTGTTAGCAGCTTAGTTTTCTAACTCCTGTGGGGAGCAGCATTACTAAGTTATTCTGAAGCTCTGTTTTCTTCTCCCTTCTTTCTTTCTTTTTCTTTCTTTGTGTGTGTGTGAGTGGTGGGTCTTGATTGGGCCATTATTTCAAGAGAGTAGATGCTAAGTTTCTGGATTTTATGCTGTTGTAAATTGGAAATGTCTACTTTAAGTGCCTTTACAGAAAAACCAGCACCAGATCATGGCTTCCTTCTTCACTCAAAGGTTGCTTCGTTCTGAGTGGTGAAATAGTTTCTTTGTAGAAGTATTTTGCTTTTGCTGTTCTTTCTGTATCTGCCCATGGTGCCTACTCTGTGGTGAAATATTAAAAAATGTAAGCTCACAGGTAAGTTTAAGGATTTCTGTGTTAACACTTGAAATCACATCTTATGAGGACAGATGCTACCAGGCACATAATTTGAGAACACATAGACTAACCCAGAGAAATGGAGGCAGGAGCCCAATTTCCGAGAGGAAGGGAAAGGAGAGACGTTATGTAGGTGGTGCTTTACACATGGGGAGGTAAGAGACCACCAGAGGTCGGCTGCTTGCGGACAGCCTTGGACACGAAATCCTTGCCTGTCCTGAGCAAAGAGAAGTCCAACAGTCTGCTCTGTGGCTGCTCTACTGAGCACCCCCTTCCTGTACTTCTGTTCTCCATCTCACCTAGTCACTCCCCAACACACCCAAGCACCCCTTCTCAGCTCCCTCCTCTCTTCTTCCCACATCTAGTCTTCAATTTTTGTTTGCCTTTACTTCTCAATTCTAGTACTTACATCCTCTAATCTTGGTGTCTGTGGCCAAACATCTATTATTATACATATCTGTGTGTGTTTGTAATGGTTAAATAATTGTAAGTGTTTTGGATGTATGTGTCTGTCTCTATATTGAATGGATTGAATAAACATGTAGATAATATTGCAAACCAAGCCTGGTCATACTCACTGCTAATCTGAGAACGAGAGAGGATGGTGGGTTCAAAGCCAGCCTGGGCTACATAGCCAGCTCCAGGCAAGCCTGGGTATGAGACCCTGTCTCAGAAACATTTGAAAGCAGGTAGTGTGTGTGTGTGTGTGTGTGTGTGTGTGTGTGTGTGTGTGTGTGTGTGAGTGAGTGAGAGAGAGAGAGAGAGAGAGAGAGAGAGAGAGAGAGAGAGACAGACAGACAGACAGACAGACAGACAGACAGACAGAGAGAGCCCTGCAGCTGGCCTCAGGCTGACACACAAATAGCAGAAATATACTTTCTGTCCCATTCCTGGTTCCATGTATAGGTAGCCTGGCTTAGTAGAGGCTTCTCCTGATTTCCCTTGTTTCTACCCAGATAATTCCCCACTCAACTCCTCTTTCCCTCAGATCTTTAAGGGTTTTCTCCTAGAACAGTAATGAGTACCATGGGGCTAGCAAGCTCAAAACAGTCGCAGAACCAGGGACAGTCTTCCAAGCACACTGGTTAAGACAGTAAGCTAGCAAACCAGTGGTAGAAGCCAAGGGCAGGCAGTCTGCCTTTCCCTCACACCAGCCATGGTCTACTCTCCACTCTCACCAGCCATGGTCCTCCCTCCCCTCTCACCAGCCATGGTCCTCCCTCCCCTCTCACCAGCCATGGTCCTCCCTCCCCTCTCACCAGCCATGGGCCTCCCTCCCCTCTCACCAGCCATGGGCCTCCCTCCCCTCTCACCAGCCATGGTCTGCCTTTCCCTCTCACCAGCCATGAACCTCCCTCCCCTCTCACCAGCCATGGTCCTCCCTCCCCTCTCACCAGCCATGATCCTCCCTTCCCTCTCACCAGCCATGGTCCTCCCTCCCCTCTCACCAGCCATGGTCCTCCCTCCCCTCTCACCAGCCATGGTCTGCCTTTCCCTCTCACCAGCCATGGTCCTCCCTCCCCTCTCACCAGCCATGGTCCTCCCTCCCCTCTCACCAGCCATGGTCTGCCTTTCCCTCTCACCAGCCATGAACCTCCCTCCCCTCTCACCAGCCATGGTCCTCCCTCCCCTCTCACCAGCCATGGTCCTCCCTCACCTCTCACCAGCCATGGGCCTCCCTCCCCTCTCACCAGCCATGGTCCACCTCCCCTCTCACCAGCCATGGTCCTCCCTCCCCTCTCACCAGCCATGGTCCTCCCTCCCCTCTCACCAGCCATGGTCCTCCCTTCCCTCTCACCAGCCATGGTCCTCCCTCCCCCTCTCACCAGCCATGGTCCTCCCTCCCCTCTCACCAGCCATGGTCCTCCCTCCCCTCTCACCAGCCATGGTCCACCTACCCTCTGACCAGCCATGGTCCTCCCTCCCCTCTGACCAGCCATGGTCCTCCGTTCCCTCTCACCAGCCATGGTCCTCCCTCCCCTCTCACCAGCCATGGTCCTCCCTCCCCTCTCAGCAGCCATGGGCCTCCCTCCCCTCTCACCAGCCATGGTCCTCCCTCCCCTCTCACCAGCCATGGTCCTCTCTCCCCTCTCACCAGCCATGGTCTGCCTTTCCCTCTCACCAGCCATGGTCCTCCCTCCCCTCTCACCAGCCATGGTCCTCCCTCCCCTCTCACCAGCCATGGTCCTCCCTCCCCTCTCACCAGCCATGGTCCTCCCTCCCCTCTCACCAGCCATGGTTGGTCCTCCCTCTCCTCTCCCCAGCCATGGGAACACACAGCAAGTAGCTTTCCGAGTGCATGGTGATCTGGTCACTTTTGAGGAGAACATACAACCTGTTCTGCAACTTGTTTGTCTTTTCACAACCTGTAAGTGTATCCCGTCACAGGAAGCACACCCACTCCTTTCTGAACCTCTTTTTTTGAATTGACTCTGATGCCTGCATTTCTCTGGAGTTAGTGACTGTCAATGTAATGTCTGTCAGTGTAATGTCTGTCAGTGTAATGCCCGGTCAATGGCATTTCATTTCTAAAGTAACTTTTCAGAAAGCACCACTGGTATATTGTTCCTTTTTAAAAATCTTTTTCTTTTTCTTTCTTTTCTTCTCTTCTCTCCTCTCCTCTCCTTTCTCTCTCTCCTCTCTCTCCTCTCTCTCCTCTCTCCTCCCTCTCTCTCTCTCTCTCTCTCTCTCTCTCTCTCTCTCTCTCTCTCTCTCTCTTATACAATTTTTCTGTGTAACAGCTCTGGCTGTCCTGGATTTCGCTCTGTCGACCAGGCTGGCCTCAAATTCACAGAGATCCGCCTGCCCCTGCCTCCCAAGTGCTGGGATTAAAGGTGTGTGTCACCACGCCCGGCTAAGTATCTTGTTCATTTTAAGAGTGTTAATATGAAGAAAAAACCATGCTGGAACTTTTTTAAAGCACATAATGTTTTGAAGTTAGAATAAAGAATAAGAATCTACTATGTCTGGTATCATTGTACAGAAGCTTCTATATGCTTTGGGATTGAAGCTAATTCATGACATTTCACATAGTATGTTTAGTTATATAGTATACTCAATGCTCATCAACTGGGTCAAATTTGAGTAACATTTATATACCTTACATTATTAAACCTGTTTAAAAATACAGGTTTAGTGCTTTAGACAGTTTACTAAAATTATAGATAGATTTTTACTCCATTTCAACTCTATAAGTGATGTTTCTAAACTACTGGAAAGAACTTAAAATAGTTTGTTCTCCTAAGTATTATCAATATTTCATATCATATTGTTGAAAATACTCACCAGCCATTTCTATAACAAGAGATTACTTAATCCAGCAATGACAAACAATGTCTCTACATCCCCTACCTCGATAGTTGAGTTTTACTACATCCGAGGAATTGGAGGCAACTGGTGTGGCAAAGTTGTCACCTGCAGCCATAGTTCACAGAGTGTGTGTCTATGTGTGTGCTCGTGTATGTCGGGTGCATGTGGCTCATGCATATGCACATGGAGGTCAAAGGTCAGCCCAGGGTGTTACTCCTCAGAAGCCCTCCACTTTTGCTTGTAGTAGTCTCTCTCTGGATCTAGGACTCACCAGTTAGACCAGGCTGACTGGTCGCCAGTACTGAGCTAGATACCAAGCACGTGCCAGCACCACGCCCTGCATTCTCTGTGGGTGCTGGGGATCAAGCTCAGGTCCCCATGCTTACATGACAGGCCATCTCCCCAGCCCCTTAGTTTTTACTTTTCATCCAGCTGAAGTAACTGCAGATCTTGGTTTGCTCAGTAGAACCCTTGTTTGTACTTATTTCCTGGCATAATTATCACTGTCACTTTCTGTCACTTTCATATGTGTTCTGTGATATGACCACCTTGTATCTAGTAGAAGTCAGATTGCTTTTAAGGCTGTGCCTCAAAGCCAAGAGCCTGTCCTCAAATCGCTAGAAATACTTTACATCGGAGAATTTAGGGTAACAGGTAAAACTTGGCACACATACTAAAGAATGGTTGACATAATAGTCCCTAAAACAAATACATAGACCACCTTACTCCCAGTCAACCGTGGAGGCAGGTAGTGTTGACACCCCCATCTTACTGTAGGTGAGGAGACTGCGGCACTGATGGTTGAAGCAAACTGCACAAGGTAAATTAGCTAAGGAGTCAACAGTTGTGCAATCTGAGCTCTTGAACTGCCTTTGGAGTTCTCATTCATAACAACTGTGTTCTTCAAGGAAAATGTGTTAGAGACGACGGGAAATCAAGGGTCAGTATGTTGAAGCATCAGTGAAAGGCTGTGAACTGAGCAAAGGCAGCTGATGGGAAGTGCTAGCTTAATATACTTAGTGTTCCTCTTCCTGCCTCTGCCAGCAAAGGAAGGCAAGGGAGGCCCACAAAAGAAACTGCCCCATCCATTGTGACCCTGCAGGTTCGAACAGCACCTTTGGCAATAGCAGGAGAAAGCCAGTCAAGTCACTATGTAGGGCCATCACCCAGGCAAAGCTCAGAGCCAGGCTTCAACCCCCTTCTCTTCCCTTGAGTCCTCTGACTCCAGTGTCTTGAGAAGGTCTCCTTCCCAGTTCAGGGCAGTCTAGGTACTAACCAATTAGACTTGGAGAATGGTTTTTCAACTGTGTTAATCCTAAACAAGCATCCAGTCACCCTGTGAGAGCACGGCAGGAATCCCTGTCAGTTCTAGAGCATTAAGTCACCATTCTCCACAGTTGAATCATCTGTGCTGGAGTGCTCAGCTGTTACCATCTGATTAGAGCTTAGAATTTAGGGCTTCAGTCAGTCAGTCTCTTCCTTCCATTGCCTAGCCGTGAAGGCCCAGAGCAAGACTCATTTCCTGCCTACACTAGCAGAGTATCACAATTTCACCCTTTCGGCCATCCCTACAGCCTCATTCTCCTTCCATTCTCTCTCTTCCTAAAAGAGCGATTCTGGACTTGAAGATCCTCACCATGGTATGGGACAGGTCTTAATGACATCCAGTTTATGCAAACATTCTCCCCCTCTCTCCTCTTTCTCCCCACCCCCGGGTGTGTTTGCACACACATGTGCATGTATGGAGGACAGAGGTCAACAGTGGGTATCTGCTTCAATCACTCTCCACCACCTATTTTTACAGACAAGCTCTCTCACCGGCCTCGCCCTCAAGGAGATCTGCCTGCCTCTGCCTTCTTAGCACTGAGATGTCAGGCAGCTGGCTTTTATGCGGGTGCTGGGGACCTGAACTCAGGTCGTCGTGATGGTACAGCAAACACTTTACTGACTGAGCTATCTCCCAGTCCCAATTTGCTTTTGAATTTTTAAAAAGAAATTCACTCTGATGCTGCATTGGATGGGTTGCAGGGCAGTAAGAACAGGAAAGACCTGGGAAGACAGCTCAGTTGGTAAGTGCTTGTTCTGCCTGAATTCAGCACTCAGAACCCACATCTTAAAAGGCTGGGCATGGTGACACAATCCCAGTGCTGGGGATGTGGATGCAGATCCTTGGAGCTTGCTACCCAACCAGCAAGTTCCAGGCCAGTGAGAGACCATGTCTCAAAAAAAAGTGAATGGCACCTGAGAAGTTATACCTGAAGAGATGCACATGTGCCCTTGTTGTGTGACATACTTTTCCTGGGCAGATATAACACACAGTGTACTCACCCCAGATAGGGATCCCACAACAGACGAAAGTACGGATACCACTGAAGTTTAACTTTATGAGCCACTGAGTTTTATTGAGGTTACTTACAGGAGCAGAAATGACTCAAAGCTGCATCACCAAAGCCCACCCCAGCATGGGTGACAGCTCACAAAAGCTCCTGAAAATCTGGTGCCCACTGCACAACCCTACAGGCAGCTCAACAAGTTGGAGAGTATCCTTTCCAGGTGCCTTAGCTGGTCTTAGCCTCTTCAGGGCGCACACACACACACACACACACACACACACACACACACACACACACACACACGTACGTAGAAGGAAAGACCAGGTAGATATTTAAGAAAGTTCAGACCAGAGATGATGGTTGCCAGTCTAGGGCAGTAGCTGTGTATAGGGGAGAAGCAGGTGCAGAAGAAGAGGCTCGTCTTAGAGATGGAACTGATGGAAATTGCTGATGGATTGGATGTGCAGGTGGAGGAATAGAAAGGGACACAGAGAGCTCTTAGGTTTCCAGCTTGTGCAACAGGGACAGGTGTGAAAATGGGAAAGGGGTATAAAGGACTTGGAAGGGGAAATCAGAAGTTTAGTTTTGAAAACGTTAAAGTTATATCCAGAAGTTATGTTATATCCAACTATTTCACTCTTATTACCCTGGCTATCTTAGCCACTTATAACTTCATCTTTATTTTTTTTAATATGGAAAAGTGTGTGTGTGTGTGTGAGCATGCAGTTGTTTGATCCACTATTTTTATTTTTATTTGATTTGGTTTTTTGAGACAGGGTCAGGCCAGCCTTGAATTCACAAAGATCTGCCTGCCTCTGCCTCCCTGGTACTGGGATTAAAGTTGTGTGCCACCACCCCCAGCTGACCTATTGCTTTATGAGACTTAACACTTTTTAACATTTCTTCAGTCGACTCCAAAGGCCACCCTGCCCTACCCTTCCATTTCTTCCGCCTTACTGCCATTTTTTTTTTTTTTTGGTGCTGCACACACTAAGCACACGCTCTGCCACTGAACTAAGACCCTAATCTCTTATACGGGAACTGGTAGTCTTCTCTTTAGCCAGATCTTCCGCTCTTACAGGTTTTCAGCAGTTCTCTCTCTCACCTCCTTCACTCTCCCCCATTATCCAAGGAGCAAGAGCTTCCTATTGAGCTCCCCTGCACACTACTGCTCCCTTGTCTTCCCACTGCTACCAGCCTAGTTGAAATCGGCCATTACTCCTTATCTGGACTTTCCAGTCTTTCAAATAACTCATTTCCTCACACACTGTTGTTGTAGAATAGTTTTCTGAGGATTCTAAGGGGTTGGAGTCTAGCTCACTTGCCTGGCAGACTCAGAGCCCTTTTATCCCCCCCACCCCCCACCTGCACTACAAAATGCTCCCCACCCCGTTTCCAAGAGAACGAAGTGTATTTTTTTTTTGTTAGCCTAATATTTGAATTGTTAGCCTTTCATGATCTGGTCCCTTCCGTTAAAAGAGTCCCTTTACCCACTGAGCAATCTTGCCTGTCACACTTCTTTGTATTTTTAAAAAATAATTTAGCCGGGCGGTGGTGGCGCACGCCTTTAATCCCAGCACTCGGGAGGCAGAGCCAGGCGGATCTCTGTGAGTTCGAGGCCAGCCTGGTCTCCAAAGCGAGTTCCAGGAAAGGCGCAAAGCTACACAGAGAAACCCTGTCTCGAAAAACAAAAAAAAAAAAATAATAATAATAATTTATTTTATGTGCATTGGTGTTTTGCCTGCATGCATGTCTGTGTGAGGGTGTTGGATCCCCTGGAACTGGAGTTAGACAGTTGTGAGCTGCCACGTGGGTGCTGGAAATTGAACCAGGGTGCCCTGGAAGGGCAGCCAGTGCTCTGAACTGCTGAGCCATCTCTCCAACCCCAGTTCTTTGTATTTTTATGTAAGCTGCTGCTTCCAGTCAGCATGCCCTCCCATCCTCACCAAGAACAATCTTGTACATCCTCTAAGATAGTCTCAAATGCTACTGAGAGTCCTGCTTAACCATTTATTGAATACTCATTACTTAAGTACTCAATGCCTATTTTATTAGGTAAGTTAAGCACCTTACATTTATTATCTGGCTATGTATCGATATGGTTTCTATTACAGTTGTCTTATTTTCTCTATAATAATGCAGATTCCTTGAGAGCACATTGCATCTTTGAATCCATAGCTAAGCTGTACACTTAGTTGATGGAAATGCTTGAGTAACTGAATGATTACAGTGCTTTGAACTAGTTCCTGTGGAAAACTACAAACGAAGCATAACTAGTTCCATTCTAATTGGAGAACACATGCACACACCTAATATTGCAAGAATATTAAGTATTGAGATAATAAATGGAATACTGACCATATGTGTAGCACAAAGTCAACCTGGAAGAATCAAATTCATAGAGTAAAAGGAGTATTTCGATTTTCATTGTCAGGGAGACCTGATTTGGGGTTGTTTCCCTACTTCACATCCTCAAAAAGAGAGTGACTTTTTCTTTTCACAGTACATCTGTAAAGTGGGCATATTACAGCTTCCTTTATGGAACTGTTGGAAGGATTCAGTGAGATAATAACCAAAGTGCCTATCATGAACAATGCAAATGTTTAAAGCAAGCTAGAATTTTAAAGAAGTTACATACGTGGGCTTGTTTTAGAGGCCTCAGTAGGTCGGTTCAGGAGGTGTGAGTGTTGGGGGTCTGGGAACTGACCAGCTAGGCTTAGATCATGGAGGCATCCAGAACCCCCAAACTTCTGGTGTTACTAACAAACAACACTACCTGAGGACACACTAACACCCTGCACACAAAACCTAAAACCCTCTCTCACCATTGTTTAGCTGCAGAAGCAAATGAAAGGAAATTTGGGAGGGAGAGCGGGGAGGGGAGTTTCGTTTTCCAACTACTGGGGAGACATTCTGCACTTTCCATCACCTGAAAGCTCCAGGACACTGACGTTTTTCTTTGGTTAGATTCTACCCTGCAATTTCCACAATCTCAGCCAGTTTCAGGAAGGTGATAGCTGGTTTGTCACAGTGGATTACTGGTGAGAGTGTTAGCTCTTAATGGACAGTGATGAAAAGTAGTGAACTAAAATCGCAGCACAGAATTTGCTGTCTTAAGTTTTTCAAACCATTTGGTACATTAATCCCACAGCCCCTCAAAGCCCATTCTTTGTATAGTCAGCTGATGTAGCTGGGTGGTGGTGGGTCCTATGTAGTTATTAAAAAGTTAAACATTTAAATGGTGATATTTGCAGATTGGACACTTAAAGAGTTGAGGCTCCCTTTTAGCGCCAAAACTTGAAACTACAGCTTTTAGTTTAGTTGGGACTCTTCCGCTACCTTACTCCCTTAAAACTACATCTCCCAGCATGCTCTGAAGCTGGTCTGACCTCATTTCAAATGGCCCCGTAGGGCAACAAGGCTGGTTAGTTTTGACCGTGCTGCTTGTGCCATGAAAAAATCGATCCCAACTGGCAGCCATTTGGGCTTTTATATCTGTCAAGCCCCTTTTTTGAACTGTGGTCATTAAATGAAGGGATCTGGTCTGGGAGGGCCCATCCATCCCCGCAACTGGACGAGGGACCAAGCAAACTGTCTCCGGCAATCTAAATAAGAGGGAATGTTGACCAGGGAACACCGCTGGGGCCGATCTGAGGAGCAGGAACCGGAGCCCAGGCTGAGTCCGAAAACTGTCGGATCCAGACTTTGGCTCGGGGACGGTTGGAAGTGGGAGATGGAGATGCCAGAGGAACCGGCCAATAGTAATAGTGGGCATTCGCTACCCCCAGTTTATATTTATAGTCCCGAGTATGTCAGCATTTGCGACTCCCTCGCCAAGGTCCCCAAACGGGTAAGAGAGGTCTGGATGAAAGACCATCGTTTTGGGGGATGGGGGTGGGGGTGTGAAAAGGGGAGTACAATTAGGAAGCTAGGAAAACTGGACTGAGGGATACCTTCAGCAAAAATTTTACTAGCAGTTTCAGGCACACCAAGCTGAAGCAGAAGGAAGTGGTTACCTTTGGGGAGCGCAGCGGGGCTGCCAACATATGGGTGCGGGTGGAGGCGGGGGAGGGGGAAGGAATGGTGAAGAGGTGACCGTAGTTTCTAATAGGAGGGGTTCATTGAAGCCCTCGACCACAAGCTGTTGGGAGAGAGTAGTCCATCACTTGCCTTAAGTAAGGCTGGAAGCGTCCGTCTTGGCGATTTTGATACTTTGTATCTGTTTTGTCTTAAGTGTATCCCAACTGTTAAAGTGAAAGAAGGGAGAAGAGATACAGTTGTTAGTTCTTCCCGCAGGACGTTGGTAATGGGATTTCAGTAAATTGAACCTTGAAGAGACTCTTCTGCCTTTTTTCTTTTATGCTGACATTTCAGGCCAGTATGGTTCACTCTCTGATCGAAGCATATGCCCTGCATAAACAAATGAGGTAAGTATGTTGACCTTTCTGAACATGGTCACCCATGAAGCCAGGTTTGTTCATAGCCTTAATAAATACTCGGTCTTGTAGTGAGACTAACCAGGGGAAAAATGGTACTTAAAAAAAAAAGCCTTTATGGGAGTGTTCGTTATATGTCTGTAACTCAGGAAAAGGTTTTGAAGAATTGACACTTGGAAAAGGTACCCAAGCAGTCACTATCTGGAAGAAGGGATTTTGTTGCTAAATAAGCACTTGTCAGATGCTTAGATCTATCTGATGTGGGTGGGGAGGGGTTAAGCAGGGAAGTGTTCAGTTGTTATTTTATATTTGGTTTAGGTTTTGTTTTATTTGTTTTCTAAAGCTGGATTTGAGGATGTGGGTTCAACTTGAGACCTTTAGATATGCTACTCCACCATCACACCAAACTTTAACCCAAGGAATCTGTTGAAAACAATCGAGAACTTAAGAGCTAGCTACATGCTTCTCAAAAACAAACAAACCAAAACTAAGCATTCTGTTGATTGCCGAGTCTGTATTTAATGTCATAAATGCAACTATTATGGACCTGGCCCGTGGCAAATCAGGTTTTTTCATGACTAACCAACTCGGTGAGTGGCTATATCATCTAATGTTTCCTTTCCCTCCCAGAAAGCAATATAATAGGTTTTCAGATTTTTTTCCTTAGTTAAGTAATTTTTAGTGTGTACATTCAATTTTTGGTGTTTCAAGACAAGATTTCTCTGTGTAGCCCTGGCTGTCCTGGAATTCTATCTGTAGACCAGGTTGGCCTTGAACTCACAGAGATCCGCCTGCTTCTGCCTCCCAGGTGCTGGAACTAAAGGCGTGTTCCACCACCACCAGGCAGTGTGTACATTCTTTAGGAATGTTTTGCTGTTGCTGTTTTGAGACAAGGTCTCTGTCGAAGCTCTGTCTGGCTAGGAACTATTATGTTGACCAGGCTGGCCTTGAACTTACTAAGATCAGCCTGCCTCCATCAAAAGGTATGCATCACCAAACCTAGCTAGGAATGTTTTTCTATCATTGCTTAACTCCTGTGTTTGTCAAGATAACTACTGGCCTTTCCTTAAAGGATTTTAACACTTTTCTGAGCCAGGTGGTGCAGGAACAAAAGAGCGGCAAAGCTACGCTTTGTAACTTAGCCAGACTGTCTCAAAATAAAAATTGTAAAGGGCTCTAGGATATTGTTCAGCAGGTAGAACACTTGTCTAACATCCATAAGGCCTAGGTTCCCGCCCACAAAATTAACATTGAAAATCTTTTATTGCAAACAAGATGTTAAAGCAAGACCTAAGGAGAGACTGTCAGCATTCTTTAGTTGGGGATTCAGGGAAATACATGGGAAGGTGCTCTAAGAGGGAACATTCAGAGAGGCCGGGATATAATCCAATATGACTGTGATTGTGAAAAAAACTGAGACTGGGTCTCTACATAGTCCAGGCTGCCCCGGAACTTGATATGGGAAACCAGGCTGGCCTTGAACTCACAGAGATCCGCCTGCCTCTGCCTCCTGAGGGCTGGGATTAAAGGCATGCGCCATTACACCAGGCTTCTTGATATTTTGATTTTAAACATTTTAAAAATATTTTTAATTTTTAATTTTTAATTAATTAATTGGAATAATTTATCTTAATGTTTTATTACCTTGCATTTCTTTCTTTTGATGGGTGTTGAATGGTGAGGGGTTGGTCAGTGAAGTGAACATGTGGAGGTCAGAGGACAACTTGGCAGGAGTTGGTTCTCTCCTTCCACCATGTGGGTCCTGGGATTGAACTCAGGTCATCAAACTTGGCAGCAAGTGCTGGTACCTGCTGGGCCATCTTACTGGCCCTGAGATTTTTATTTTAATGGACAACTTTTTCACTTCTCATGGTATAGACGTGTATTTGAACAAAAAACAAGGATCCTTGATTTTTGACTGTATATTTAACTTTTGAAGTTGAACCACAAGATTTCAAATACCTTGGTTATACTAGTTGCCTAAATATCCTTACCTGTATTAATTCACAATAACCTCATGGCTCTACTCCCCATTCAGAAAATATACATGGTTACCTCTTTGTGGCTAGAATAGCGCTCCTTCAATTTGAGTGGGCAGTCATCTTGTTAAGATTGATACTAAGCCAGGCGGTGGTGGTGGTGGTGGTGGTGGTGGTGGTGGTGGTGCACACCTTTAATCCCAGCACTTGGGAAGCAGGGGCAGGCGGATCGCTGTGAGGCCAGCCTGGTCTACAAAGTGAGTTCTGGGACAGCTAGGGCTGTTACACAGAGGAACCCTGTCTTGAAAAACCAATGTGTGTGTGTGTGTGTGTGTTCGTGTGTATTCGTTCTTATTAGAATACAAATTGTGGTTCATTGAGCTCTGCCTTTCTAAGAAATGCATGCCATGCTGCTAGTGTGTTGACTACCCGTTCGGTGGCAAGGGCTGGAGAACATACCTGCAGCAGAATCCAGAAGAGACAACAGGGACTCAGCAGGTTCGAGGCCCCACATCCCATGTAACTTGCTTCCTTCCTTCTCTCATTTCCTCCTTTTCTCACTGCGAGGAGCAGATTGAGAGGTTCTAGCCATTTGGTCCTTCTGTCCTTCCTCTGGGAGACAAATGGAAGAGACCAAGTAATAGAAACTTGATGTTTGAGGACACTGGAGAGAGGAAGCAGGAAGTAGGAACATTTGCTGTGCAAGCACTAGGACACAAGTTCAAATCCCCAGAATCCACAGGAAAAGCTGGGTTGTGTCACACATACATGTAACCCCAGTGTCTTGGCAGGGGTAGACAAGAGTCAGAAAAATTGCTGGGGCTTGCTGATCACCAATGTAACTAACTCCAGCTTCAGATTCAGTGAGAGACTGTCTCAAGTGAATAGCGGTGGGAGTTAGAGAGCAGGATGTGTGGCATCCTTTTCTGGCCTCTGTGCATAGACAGGCTTGCAAAACCCCATGCATATGCTCCCATACAGCACCACCCCCATAAATAAATACTTTCTACATCTGACTTCTCGGTTTTTTTTTTTTTTTTGAGACAGTGTCTTATAGAGCCCAGTTTGGTGTGGAACTTGTTGTGTAGCCTAGACTAGCCTCACACTCATGATCCTCATGCCTCTCAAGTGCTCTGATTACAGACATTTGCCACCATATCTCACATGTTGTCTTTCTACTGCCTTTTTCCGCAGTGTTGTGCAGATGTTAGGCAGCTGTTGCGTAACTGCGCACCATTCCCAGCCCAGTTTCCCTACTTTGTACTCTAATATTGATGATAGCTGTCCAGGAAGGTTTGTATATAAGTCCACTAAGTTGACCCATTTTACAAATGAGAAAGCTGAGGCACAGAAGAGTCAACTCACCTGAAGTTAACAGAAGCAGTAAGTACAGAGTGAGGGAAGGAATCCAGTTGTCGGGCTCAGAATTCTGTGTGATAACCCAGCTGCCTATTAAAATAGACACACAGGGGTGGGGGGGGGGGCAAAGCTCGGCCCCGAAACTAACACAAGTGACTACACATCTGACTGAAAGGATTACCTAGTCCAAGCAGAAACTCACTCAAATGTAAACGGCTTTGCTGCTTTGTTGATGAGATGTAACTCACAGAGCGAAGTTGATATTTCAGTCTTTTAAAAATAGGGTTTTATGATTACTTATTTTGTGTGTATGAGTGCTTTGCTTGCATGTGTGTGTGCATGTGTGCCTGGTACCTGTGGAGGTCAGATGAGGGGGTCAGATCTGGAACTGGAGTTATGCATGGTTGTAAGTCACCAGGTGGAGTTGGGTGACTCCAGTGAACCCCAGTCCTCTGCAAAAGCAGCAAGTTCTCTTAACCCCCGAGCCATCCCTCCAGAGTCTTTTAATTTTTAAAAAAGTATATATATTAGGGGATGTGCGTGCCACAGAGCACACACAGAGGTCGAGGGCACCTTGCCGGGGTAGTCGGTTCTCTCCTCTACAACATGGGCCCCAGGGATTAAACTCAGGTTGACAGTCTTGATGGCAGGTGCCTTACCCACTGAGCCATCCTGCTGGCCCTGGGTTAGTGAGTGTGGCTAAACCAGGGACCTTGATGCATGAGCATCTGTTTGAGTTAAATATAATTTTTCAGTTCTGTTCCCTACCTAAAAACTAAAGGACAAAGTTGTCTTCTTGTCTCTTATTAGTGGGGTCAGTATCATAGGAAGTGAAGACTGGGCCATGCAGTGGAGGACATGGTGTGTTTATGACTTCACTGGACCCAGAAGCTGGGACTTGTCTTTTCTCTTCAGTCTGTTGGCTGCTGTTTCCAGCACCTTGCATCTGGGCCTGACTCACTCCCCTCTGTTCGCTCTGTTATTATTAGGATAGTGAAGCCCGAAGTGGCCTCCATGGAGGAGATGGCCAGCTTCCACACTGATGCCTATCTGCAGCATCTCCAGAAGGTCAGCCAAGACGGTGATGAGGATCACCCAGACTCCACAGAATATGGACTAGGTAAGGTTCTCTCCGGCAGCAATAGGCGATCAATAGACTGTACCTGCAGATTATGTTACTTAATTTGTCACTCTATGTTTATGTATGTTGTAAGTATGTATGCTTGTGTGTGGTATGCATGTGTCTGCTGGTACACAGGTGGTTCAAAAGGCCAACACTGGGTGTTTTTGGTTTTTTTTGAAATAGGGTTTCTCTGTGTAGCCCTGGCTGTCCTAGAACTCCCTCTGTAGACCAGGCTGGCCTCGAACTCACAGAGAGCCTCCTGCTTCTGCACCACCACCACCTGGCTCTGTGTGTCTTCTTTAATCACTCCCCACTGCTGTGGGATGTCCTGTATGCTGTGAATATATGTTTCTATGATTGATCAATAAATAAAACGCTGATTGGCCAGTAGTCAGGCAGGAAGGATAGTGTAGGCGGGATAAGGAGAGAGGAGAATGCTGGGTGGAAGAAGGCTGAGGCAGAGAGACGCTGCCAGCCGCCATGAAGAAAAGCATGATGTAAGATACAGGTAAGCCATGAGCCATGTGGCAACTTATAGATTAATAGAAATGGGTTAATTTAAGATGTTAGATCTGGATAGCAAGAAGCCTGAGCCATGAGGCCAAACAGTTTAAATAATGTAAGCGTCTATGTGTTTATTTGAGTCTGAGTGGCTGCCAGTCTGGGCGGGACTGGAGATAGTTCCAGCTACACCCCACCTTAGTTTTTGAGTCTCTTACTGAACTTTTGACTAGGTTGGACAGCCAATGATCTCCAAGAATCTACTTGTCCCCACTCCTCCAGTGCTAAGGTTACACATTCATGCCTCCTGTGCCAGCTTTTACAAGGGTGCTAGGAATCGGAACTCAGGCCCTCATCCTTGTGTGCCAGGCATTTTACTTACTGAGCTATTTCCCAAACCCATAATACTTTTTTTTTCTTTTCTATCCTTATTTTAAATTGTATGTGTATGCGTGTGTGCCTGAGTGTATGTATGTGTACCACGTGTATGCAGTGCCAGTGGAGGTCAGAAGAGGCCTTAGATCTCTTGGAACTGAAGTTATAGATGGTTGGGAGCTGCCACGTGTGTTGTAGAATATTATTTTAAGGTGTGTTGCATTCTTTTATGTTGCATTTATTTAACTCTCTGAAGCTGTGTTACTGTGCCTGTCTGAAACACCTGATGGTCTAATAAAGAGCTAATGGCCAATAGCAAGAGAAAGGATGGGTGGGACTGGCAGGCAGAGAGAATATATAGAAGGCGAACTCTGGGAAGAGGGAAGCTAGGAGCCAGAGAAGGAGGAGGACCTCAGGGGCCAGTCACCCAGATACACTGTAAACCACGGAGTACAAGTAAGATTTTCAGAAATAAGAGAAGGGGAAAAGCCCAGAGGCAAAAGGTAGATGGGATAATTTAAGTTAAGGAAAGCTGGCTAGAAACTAAGCCAAGCTAAGGCTGGGCATTCATAATTAAGAATAAGCAAGCCTCCATGTGTGTTTTATTTGGGAGCTGGGTAATGGACCCCCCAAAAGAGCCAAAACAACCAACAACACACGTGGATCCTGGGAACTGAACCCAGGTCCTCTGGAAGAGCAATAAATGCTCTTAACTGCTAGCCATCTCTCTAGCCCAATACTTTTAAATTAAGAAATAATATAACTGGTGCACGTGTGTGTGTGCGCGCGCGCACACACATGCACATCTGTGTCTCTGTGTCTGTCTGTCTGCCTTGTCTGTGTCTCTGTGCCTGTGTGTGTGTTATTAAGGTGAAACCCGGGGCCTGGGATATGCTAGCCAAGCACTCCTCCTTAGCTCTATCTCTAGCCCCAACTGTTCACTTTAATCCCTCAGTTTAGTCATACCGTGTACACTATATGAACTGAACAGAACTGAAGATGAGCCTGATGGAGAAGAATCCTTTCGATGTTGAGATTCTAATGGCAGCACTTAGATCTACTCTGGCTATATCCATGCCGGGTCAGCTGTTCTATAATCACAGGTTTTAAGTATAGATTTATTTGTTTTGAGTCTTTTTTATTTTTTTTGAGACAGAGTCTCACCGTATAGCCCTGGCTAGCCTGGAACTTATCTGCCTCTGCCTTCCAAGTGCTGGGATTAAAGGTGCGTGTCACCATGCATGGCATTAGGTAAATATTTAAATTCTGGCTAAGTTTCCTACCTTATCAACAGATGCACTAAAAAAAATCACAGTGAATTGTCAACAGCATAGTCTAGAATAGGTGTGTCCAACTTGTAGCTCATGGGCCACATGCTTCCCCAGATAGCTATGAATGGGGCCCAACACATTTGTAGGTGACAGCAACATACTATGATGTCAAAGGTTAGGCTAGGCACCCCTGTTCTAGAGAAACTGCGTGGATTAGTAGAAAGACACTAGATTAGCAATCAAAAGACCTGGTCCCAGGCCTGGTTCCATGTGACCCCTGGCAAAATGCATCCCCTCTTGGGCCTTGATTGACTGCTGGTGGGATATGAGAAGTTCATCTTGATGGCTTTATCCTTTCTAGCACTAACATTGGAAAGCCTTCCCTCCCTAACACTGGAGATGATTTTAGCACAGAAGCTTCTTAGACCATGCTGTTGTCACGACTTAACCTATCCTTCCTTCCCCAGATCATCTTTAACAGACTTTTCTGGGTTCTGCCCCCAGGTTACGACTGCCCAGCCACACAAGGGATATTTGACTATGCAGCAGCTATAGGAGGCGCTACAATCACAGCTGCCCAGTGCCTGATTGACGGGAAGTGTAAAATAGCGATTAACTGGTCTGGAGGGTGGCATCACGCAAAGAAGTAAGGAAATGGCTTTTCTGCTTTCTAACTCCTTCCGTGGTCAATCTCTCAGTTAGATAACCTTGTACACTTGTTATACTGACACTTCTGGGAACCACGTATGTGTCTAGCATTTTATAAGGTGTTCGGAAAAGACGCAAGAAAGCTAGATGACCTAATAGAGTGGAAAGCACTCCATTGAAAGTCAGGGCATCTGGGCTGCATGCCTAGTTTCCCTGCACACTTGGCCAAACCTCCCTAGGCCCCAGTTTCTTTATCAGTCAAGGGACAGGGAAAAGGATGTAACTAGACAACCTACAGTGCTTGGAAATCCCGTCTCGGGGACTTGGCTCTAGAAACGGGAACAGAACTGGACTAGTTAGAAGATAATATAAATTATGACACTAAGGGAATATGTCTAGTATATAAGATGAATAGACTGTCAGTACGGAGAAATTAATCATGGAAGTCTTGGGAGAGGTGCGTTTCAGAGCTCATACTTGATATAAGTAAGAAATGGGTTTTTGAATAAGTAGATCATTGATGAGAATAGACATAGAACAAAAGGTTTAAAATAATCAAGGAGTCTTTCACTATGTCCAAGGAAAGTGATAACATGGCTATCTATCTCTAAGGAAAAAGGGGCTCTTCTTAGGTACTGCTTGCTTAGAGACAAAAAGGCCTTTTAGAATCTTGTGTTTGTGTGTGTAACTTCCTACTCTGACAAGAACCCCAAGCCGCCTTCCACATCTGGCATCTCATGTGCTGGGTTAGTAGTGCTTAATACTTGTAGGGAAGGGGGATCTCACAACTGAATTTATTTATCAATGTGCTGCCTGGGTGAAAGAACGCAGCTGTCTTACTGACTGCCAGTGTATCATTCGCAAATCAGTGAGAGCAGCCAACCGAGACCTTGATCTTCAGTCAAAAGAAAGCAGCATTGGATTCTTTCAGACTGAAAGGCACCACAGTTTTAGCATATGCAAATTTACATAATAGTATGGTGTTCTTTTCCAAATGGACAGATTTGCTGGCCAAAGTAGTCCTTGTAAAACTAAATAACTACAATCTCCTGTCTAGACAATAGAAAACTGATGTTTTAGTAATGATTTCACATGGTCTTAAACAAAGAGAACAGCCTGCTTTTGTTAGCTTTTTTTTTTTAAGTTCGAAATTAAAACAAGATTTTTTCTTATTAAAGCTGAAGAATGAAGAGAAGAGCAGGACTCTCTGCATCCAGGCCTTCTCTGTCCTTTGGGCATGGGGAGTAAGGAAGCCTTGTGCTTTCACCAAGAATGCCTGCTCTGGCAAGCGTGCCGTCATTTCCCAAGGTTCCATTTGCTGCGGGAGGGCTTGGGTCACTTTCAGACCTTGCCGCCTCTTAGCCCTGGCTTTCTGCCAGGGGCTGTCCATTCTAGTGGAGCCAGCCATGGCTGGCAGGCTGCATGCAGGTGTGAAGGTGCTCACATGCCATTACCTGTTGAAGACAGCTGTCAGCGCTCCCGTCTCGAAACACACAGACTGGTAGTGAATGTCGATTATAGTTTCTGGGGATTGACTTCATTCAGGTCTGAATTCCAGGGTGGGCTGACACAACTAGATCCTCTCTGAAGTAGGACCACAGGCTTATAAACTTACACGAAGCTAGGTGCTACCTATTATTGTTACTGGAAATTCTGGGGAGCCCATCCTTGAGTGCCACATGTTACTGGGCAAGTTGGGGTCTCCTCTTGGAGACCCATTAATTAAAGATTTTTTTGTTTGTTTGTTTTTTGAGACAAGGTTTCTCTGTGTAGCTTTGCGCCTGTCCTGGAACTCGCTCTGGAGACCAGACTGGCCTCGAACTCACAGAGATCCACCTGCCTCTGCCTCCTGAGTGCTGGGATTAAAGGCGTGCGCCACCACCACCCGGCCTAATTAAAGAATTTAAGATTAGACTCGGGCTAGGCATAGTGGCATACGCTTTTAATCCCAGTGCTCAGGAGACAGGCGGACAGACCTCTTCTAGTCCTGCTAGGGCTACACAGTGAGATTCTATCTTTAAAAACTAGATAGGCTCAGCAGGAAGCTCAATGACAGTGACAATTTTATTAGTCTTTAAAAGAAAACCCTTAAGGCAGGCAAGCTATAAATCTTGGTAGCTGCCAGGGAGCATGGAAAAGAGGAAGAGAGAAAACTCATGGCTTTTGTAAGCCACCACATGGCAGAAATGAGGGGCTGGGAGTCAGAGGGACGAGTAACTTCAGAGAAAGAATGAGAAAGCCCAGAGCATCTGAGGAGGCATGCGCGGGAGGGAGACAGAGTGGGATCTCTGGGGAGGAAAAGAAAAAGTACATCCTCTCATTAAGGGAGTGAAATTTCCTCTCCCATTTATTTAGCATGCCTTTAGGTGGGCTCTGGGCTTTCCTTAATTAACTCTTGTTTTGGTAGCTTGGACTGTTAATTTTCCACCCAGAGACAGAGATAGAGCTTAGAGTCTGGTTTCTTATCTCCACCAGATGTCCTAACAGTATCTGTTCTGAAGATGGTACCCTGACATCAGTTAGGAGATAGGCTGAAATTAGGGACTGGGTGGACCCCATTTCCATCATGAAAATCCAGAGATCAGTTCCAAAGCTGGCTACCAGAAGCTCCTGAGTGTCTGGACTGGAGTTCTGCTCACACCCGCACGTAGGAGATAAGAAAGCAGAGCTCCCTTCTGGCATCTGGACATTCCCGGAGCTGCTGCTGTAGGAGCCCTGCCCTAAGCTGCCTGTCAGGTCTGTTTTCATTGTCCCATTCTCTTCATTGCAATCACACTATCTGTTTCAACCCCAGATACATGCACAGATTCCTAGATCCCGTGCAGGGGGTAAACACTGTGTGGCAAGCCCATGGTTTTATCTTTAGTAACTGGAGGTAGGGGAATTGAAGTAAAGTATATTTCTCCCCACAGAACTGAAAAAAAAATCTTTGATTTGAAAATATTCAGATGCTGACAGGGTTCTTGAAAACTTTGGTAGTGTTGAAAGTGGGAAATGTGTTCGTACTTGTTGACCCAGTAACAATATTCTTAGATTCTATTCTGATGAAATAACCCAATCCTGCCATCAAGAAATTGATATCTTGGGGATGGTACAGCCAATCACTGCGTTTGAAAGTTAAATAAGAGTGATTGTAGAAAAGCCTGCAGACAGTAATGCGGAATTGCTGGGGCTCCTAACTCTTAGGTGTACCAAGCTAGGATAAAGAAAACAGTGGCATGAGACAGTCCCTTCCCCCGACGAGACCAATTCTAAGTTGAATGGATTGGGACAGAAGCATTGGCAAAGAGCAGGCTAGCTGCCTGTTAGGCTGAGCTGGGACTAAACTCCTCGTTCCTGCCTTCATTCTTTCTCAGTGGCAACATAGGCGAGCTGGCCAAGTCCAGTGAGTCAGTTGCTACACAAGATCCAGGCCTGTCGGCAATGGGGTAGAGCACACGGCAGCCGTATCTAGGAGGAAGAGGGGGGCTCCAAGGCATTTTTATTACTCGCCATGTGTTTTCTCCCCTCGGTACCCTGTCCTATGTCTCCACCATCCCCCCTCCAGAACTCCTTATTCAGTACCTCAGGATGCTGTCATCGTCAATCATCTGGGCTTCTTCAGTCTCATTAATAGCAAGGTTTCAATGTGTATAAGAAAATGAATAAAATGATTTTTCTCTGGCTAATCAATTTTTATGCTGACTCATAGCCCAACCAAGAACCTAGAAGAGATGGGGGAGGAGCGTTATTCCTTTCCCAACACAGACAGCTGAACAAACTGTCATTGGGGCTGATGCCCTACAAACTCCTACCTTCTTCCTTAAATATCTGCAGCTCCAGCTTTCCGTGTGAAGGGTACTTTTACTGACAGCATCCTAGGAGTTCAGTAGCATTTCTTTGATTTCATTACTTGGTTTTCCTCCGTACAGTGCTGTGGGTCAAGCGCCACCTGCTGGCAGTCAACTGTTATGGTCTCTTTTCTTTCTCCCCCCCCCACCCCCCCACCCCCACCCCGCTCCCCTTCTCTGAGTAATTCTGGCTGTCCTGGAACCCTCTCTGTAGACCAGGCTGGCCTGGAACTCGGATATCCACCTGCCTCTACCTCCTAAGTGCTGGGCTTAAAGGCATGTGCCACCACCGCCCAGTAGATCTTATTTTCATTTTATTTCTTCTGGCCTCAAGCTTTCTTTGTAGCCAAGAATGACCTCGAACTACTGATCCTCATGCCTCTACCTCAAGTGCTGGGGATGCACCAGCATGTCTGGTTTCTGCAGTGCAGAGTCAAACCCAGGGCTTCCTGCATGCTGTACAAGCACTGTAGCAACTGAGCTCTAAAAGTTTCAGTGCTGGAATTGAACCTAGGACCTCATGCATGCTAGGCAAGTGCTCTATCACTGAGTTACATTCCCAACCTGGGAGTTCATTTTCATATGCCCTAAAGTCTATATGTATATTTAAGATAAGTCTTATCTGGACACGCTGCTTAGTATTTTATCCATGTATTTCATCGAATAGTTTACATTGGTTTCAAAGAGGTATTTCTACTGGAACCTCTCTTTTTGTTTGTTTGGTTTTCGAGACAGGGTTTCTCTGTGTAGCTTTGCGCCTTTCCTGGAACTCACTTGGTAGCCCAGGCTGGCCTCGAACTCACAGAGATCCGCCTGGCTCTGCCTCCTGAGTGCTGGGATTAAAGGCGTGCGCCACCACCGCCCGGCTTGGAATCTCTTTACTAGTTAATCTATACTGATATTTTCCCTTACCAAATGACCACTTTCGAATTATAGTCTGTCAAGTATGTCTCCATAATTTTTTAATTATCTTTTTCTTTCATCTCCTCACAATCATATGGACATAGTTTCTCCATGATTTGGACGAGAGGGAAGCATTAGGAACATCAGATTGTGTTCTCGTTTGAATGGAGTCTGAACAGAGTAGGAATGTGTAGCTGAGAAGCAGTATGGAGGTCACAGATGGAAAATTAAAGATGGAAAGGGGTCTAGAAGATGGCTCAGCAGG